CTGTCCCGGGCGGTGTGTCTGTCCCGGGCGGTGTGTCTGTCCCGGGAAGCTCCGAGCGGCCGGGCTGAGCCGTGCTGGAAGCGCCCGCAGTCCCTGAGCAGGATGTGAGTCTGTGCTAAGAGCTGACGTTGCCTAATGTCCTAAAAGTTTTAACCAGTTCCTTGCAGATGAGGGAGTTTTTAGGAGTGCATGGAGAATGAAAAGTTACGTTTCGAACAGGCGGGTTTTGGCTGCCTTTTCTCCCTGTGGAACCGGCCGGACAGGAGCTGCCAATGCAGCGTCGCTGTAAAAAGTGAACCAACCAACCTGAGCGAACTCTGAATATGAACTCCCAAGCTGGTCACTCTCCCCGGTGGTTTTTGAGGATTGTTTTGGTTTTTGTTTTGTTGGTCGCTTTTTTGTTTTGTTTTCAGGTGGTGGGGTTTTTTTTGTTTCAGATACACATAAGGAGTTTGTAGGAGGGGGAAGAGATCTGCTTTGGCTTTTTAGTTCTGTTAACAATAGCAGTGAGACAGGAAAATGGACAGTTGTCATCTAAGCTGGACAACTTTATATGCCATGGTGCACTTTCAGCAGTCTGAAAAAGGCAGATAGTCAGGTACAGCTATAGATAAATGTAAAACAAAATGTGTCCTTTGGGGTGAAAGTTTCTGTAATCTTTTCCTGTACACATTTCCTGTCTTTTGTCTAGTTTGACACTTCTCCTAATGTTTGACTATATCCTTAACCCTATTTTACCACACCTGTGTTTTGCTGCCTTCTGGCTTATTTAAAGAGACCCCAAGAAAACTGACCAGTTCTGCAATTTTACTTTAGGCTGAACATTGTAGAATTACAAAATGTAAACTATGGCAAATGGAAAATTACAATATTGCTTAGGCATCTCACGTAACCACAGTGTCCCAAACCTTGTTAGTCACAGAGATTGACAGCAATATATTAAAGAGTGTCAGCAAGTCCTTGGGTGGCTGTGCTCTGACTGACTTTGTTTTGCTCTCTGTCCCTCTTTTTTTAGGAACTGTCACCACAGTAACTGGGTGAGGGGTTCACCTGGACATCACCAACTTTCACAGAGGAGCTGTGTTGCCCCATGCTCTGGTGTGCACACAGAGCATGCATGAATGTTGGGCTGCTACATGCTGTGTGAAAGGGCTGCTACATTGGCCCTTTCTATCAAAAAGCCAATTTCCAAAGTGCAGATAGACTTAAGAAAAAGGAGTCATCTTAAGCCCGGGAGCAGCCTCTTTAAGCAGCTTTGAAGCTGCTGACTCATGTAGGAAAAAGCCCCATCAACTGAAGCTGTGACAGTTGAAAACAGTTCCCCCTTCCCTTTCTGTGGGTTGTGCTGTTTCCAGAGGATGATTTGGTACCCCTCCCAGTATGTGGCTGTGGTGTGGTTCAAAAGCAGAGCTGCTGCTGAGTAGGGTGGGTGAGGCCCACTTCCTTTGTCTAACCCACAGTGCTGAGCTCTGGAGCAGGTCAGGCTGAGCCATGGCAACTTCCTTAGCAAAACCCTCATGTACTAGATGAGATGGTGGAGGGAAAGTGTCATATCAGTATCAATAGGCACCTGACAGGAAAACTAAAAGCTTGTTAACAGCTCATCTTATAAAAATGCCAAAAAAATGCACTTAATGGGCATATTCACCGCCAGTCCATCAAACTGTGCTCAGCTGTAGGGCTGAATAGCACAGTACAAATCTGGCTCTTACCAGTAACTATTGCTTGTATATGTCTTCTGCAGGGGCTTTTTTCCTATGTACAGGGGAAAAAAGCATCCCACAGCTTAAATACTCATCTGTTTTTTCACCATCAAGTGTTAAATCACTGTGTTCAGTTGTTGTGCTGTAACTGTTTTTGGAACGTGGCGTGCCTGGGGGTCCTGGAGGAATGCAGTGTTTATAACCCTGCTGTCTTTGAGGGGCTGGATAGCTGAACATGGCTTGGTCTCTGAAATTTATCTTGGCAGCTTTCTTCACTGGAAGTCTCTCAAGAAGAATTGATGTAACATCTCTCATGAAGACAAGCCATAGTGGTGCATGTGCAGACAACTTTTCCCTGGTCTCCTTTGCAAATGTGTTCATTTGGCCCTTGCTATTGACAGACTTCTGTCATTCCCCTCTGTGGCATCTTTCTGCTGTGTAGGATGTTAAAATAACCCATGATCACACTGAGTGCTGTTAAAATATTTCTGGACTTCTTGGCATGAAAAGGAGTCGTGATCAAAACTATTGAACTTCAGCATAAAAAGGGTTACTGATCAAAACTATGAAAATATAAAGACAACTTTAGAACTGATTGTTATGATGAAATTTTAACATTTGAATTTGATTTTGCTGATATGAGAGCGAGATAAAAAGTTAGAAACTGTAGAGAAAAATGCTTTAAAAAAATTAAAACAATTTTGCAAAAGATGCTGGTCTTCTACAAGCCTTAAACAAATCATTCTTCAGCATTTTTTCCTGTAATGTGTTCATGTGTTGATCTCTGCTTCTTTTTACTGAGGAGTTAGAAAAGGAAAACTGCAGTAAACTTCAAATCATCCAAGCCTCAGAAGATACATAGAATGGTTCAAAGGTGAAAGGCAAATTTTGGAAAGCTAGAGCCCTTCCCATTCAGCAGCCACTCCTTAAAGGAAAACTGGACATTTGCCTGGCTCACAGCGGTTTCTTTCTAGTTACCACAGCATCCTGCCGGGAAATCTTTGCCTCCCGTTACTTTAATTGAATTGTTATGGGATGGTGCTGTTAATCAGTTTCCCAGGTTTATTTCATTCAGATTCAAACGATTCTCCACACATACGGTCTTTTTTATGTCAAAAGCAAAATAAAAATCATTAGAAAAGAGTGAAAGAAACAGTTGCTTACTTTTCTGTGAAAATACAGCAAGTAAACAGGAAGAGTTGACTGTGCCTGTCCTGCTGAGAATAGTTTCAGCATCACCTCAAAATCATCTGCTTCTCTTATTTATGCCTCCCATGTTGGTAGCTTTGCTTGTCAGACCTGGTTTAAGCTCAGTTGGCAAGTAAGACCCACATAGCCACTCACTCACTCCCCACCACTGGGGTGGAGGAGAGAATCAGGTGAAAGTGAGAAAAATTGTGGGCTGAGATAAAGACCATTTAATAAGTAAAGTAAAAGCCATGCATACAAGCAAAGGAAAATGAGGAGTTCGTTTTTACCACTTCCCCTGGGCAGGCAGGTGTTCAGCTGCCTCCAGGACAGCAGGGATCCATCATGCATAACAATGAGTCGTGAAGACAAGCACCATCACTCTGAACATCCCCCTCTTCATCTTTCTGCCCCCAGCTTTATATGCTGAGTTTGATGCCTTACAGTATCCCTGTGGGTTGCTGGGGTCAGCAATCCCAGCTGTGTCCACTCCTGATTCCTGCACCCCCTGCATTCTGACTGGCAGGGCTGTTAGAGAAGCAGAAATGACCTGTTAAAGCCCTGCTCAGCAAGAGCAAAAACATCTCTCTGTTATCAGCATTATTTCCAGCCCAAATCCAAAACACTGCCAAACCAAATCCAAACCAGCTACTGGGAAATAAATTAACTCTATTCCAGCCAAAACTAGCACATTCAAGTAGGGAAACTAGGTTAAATATTTTTGTTGTCTAGAGCTTTGTTAATGTACTCTGGATGATCCAATGCATTAAGTAAGATTTTGTGTTGGTCGAACCTTTACAAGGAAAAACCAACAAGTATTCCCTCAGGTGCTGAGGAGGCAGCCAGTGCAAATCTGACAGTGCTTGACTTACCGTGCTGCAGCCTGAACTGGTCTTTAGCTCTAATTGCTTCCTGGCTTTTGAATTTCATTGTCTGGAGTTACACTTTCTGGTATAAAAGTGTGCCCTCAGCTATGCCCAGTTGTGTTCACCTGGGTACTCTACAAAAAGGAGATGGAGGTTTTTGTGGCAAGTCCTTTCTAGGACTTGCCTTTCCTTGAGCTTCTTACACCTCTGCCTGCAGTGTGGCTTGATCTTCACTTATCTTTGCTTCCTTATGCCAATAGTGAGGACGTCCTATGTGGATGAGTTGTTCTTAGAAGCGTTTTCAGCTCTTGGGTCATCCCTGTAGTGCTTTGGGGACTCGGAAGGCAGAGGATCAAGAAGTTAATTAGTACCTTGTGGTGGGAGACTCTTTCCACTCTTCTTGTGGCAAACGGTGCTAAATGCTCAGCTAACTGATGGCAGCTTAAAACACTTCAGTATAGTCAGCTACACTTAAAAAAAGGTTGCTGGCACAGCAATTAAACAGGTTAGTGCATGGCAGGAAAAACACACGTGTAGGTAGTCCCTTGAAAACTCTGAGTGGGGTAGGGGAAAGGTGATAAAATACTGTTGGTGATAAAATACTGTTGATTTTCCCCATAGAAACCCAGTGTTGAAAAGATAAGAAAGGCTTTAATTACCAAGTGTCAGTTCTAAATCCTCATCAACAGATGGCTCCTCATTGAGCTCTGGAGTTTTTAATAAATGTCAGGAAGGGCACAACACATCAAAGCTGGGAATATGCTTGTGAATGCTTCACCTGGGATAATAGACCTGGAGGAAGAGAGGATCCCTTTGTATGCTGTGCTGGATCAATATTCAATTCATATTAATCATTAAACAAAAAAGGGGAAATGCATCATTTCCTCACTTGTGTTGTCAGCTATGACACAGAACACCAGCACTCAAATGAAAGCAGATGTTACTGCTCTTCAGGCTAATAATGCCTTATATTTTTAATAAGGGCTTCGTTGTGATTCCATGTACAATAATTACTGATGACTGGAACAGAGCAAACACAAAATGACTGAATATTTAGTGATAGGCTTTAACAGAAATCATTACATTAGAAAAAATCCCTATGGTTAGTATGGTTAGTTTCTTTCCTCTTGAGGATTCATCCCAGAGCAGCCACTCACTCTTTGCCCTCAGTGGAAAGCACTGTAGCAGTTGCTGAGAAGAAAATTAACTGCATCTCAGATAAAACCACTGCACCTTTTCATTTAAGAGGCTTTGTCAGACCACATAATTTACCTTTAGAAGTCTGATTAAGGGTCTGAAGTGTTAGGACTCATTTTTTTCATAGCTTAATCTGTTCTTCCATACAGGTATTCACAATTTTTATTTTTCTCTTTTTCAGTGATTGTAGTTAGTCAGTTTGGATTTGGTGGTTTGGTTTCATCAGCATTTTTTTTTCCCATTAATGAAGGATTTAGGTTGCAGGTGCTGTTTTTCAATGCACTTCTATGTGCATTTGTGGTACAGTAATTGGAGTGTGGATGTGTTTCTTGTGAAGGGTGCCTGAAGGCTGGATTTATACCTGTGTGTATTGTTGTGACTTGTGTAGCAAAAGCCTGGAAGAGATTTTCAGGTTTTATTTTTTATATAAGCATGAGGAGCTTAATGCCAAATCTTCCTGCTTTCCTTCCAAGGAACAGATACATGAGCTGAAATGTGAGCATTGATCTCTGAAGTATTTTCATTACCAAAAAGGCACAGCTGGCTTGTTCAAGCACCCTTTCCTAAAAATGTAAATAAACCTTTGGACACTAAGCCCCAAATAGACTTGCAGTTGACCTTAGGAAGTTGTAGAGAGTTTAAAAACCCAACTGCCTTCCCTGGTCCCTGAAATGAATTATATGGTGGCAATGGTTGACAATAATATCCAGCTTTATTTGTCATGGCATAGGAAATGAGTGAGAGCAAACCTAGCCCTCCTCTTGATTTACAGTGACAACTTCAGGTTTCCTTCTCACTGGGATCTTGCATCCCACTAACCAAGCAAGCTGACATGCTTCTCCCTGGTGACCATGGGGGCTTCCAGTATCAACAAAACATAACTGGGAAAAGCCAGGCAGAGCCCACATAATTTCTGGTTGCTTCTTTATGATCAAGGCATCTTTATTCTTAATGAGAAAGTGTCCAATTCTGATGATTTTTTCCTTTCCTCAGCACAGTGGTGTTTGGTCATAGGTTGGACTGGATGATCTCAGAGATGTCACATAAATTGTGCCCAGGTTTCATGCCCTGTGTCCTTGGTTTTTTGATTAACAGCTTAGTCCAGTGTTTCCATCATGGCTAATTCTTCCAATCTGTGTGCATCACTGAAGTGCTTTTTCCTGCCCCTATCCCAGCACTGAGCAGAAGCAGGTTGCTGTCAATTTTATTTTGAGAGTAATATTCTTGTTTCTTTCCCCCACAGGATTTAAACTGTCTCGTAAGAAATAGTAAGTAATTTTTTTTCTTTGTTGCAGTTTTCTCATTAGATCATGCTTTTTTTTTTTTCCTTTTTTTAACTGGGTTCATACAGCATGTTTTTTTCCTGCTAGAATCAGAGAGTTGTAAAGGGAACTACTGCTATCCTGCCTTGCTTTGGGAGTTTACAGCTTGATCCATTATAAGCTCTAGCTGGAAGAGGAATGGAAACTTATTTCTTTTTTGGGATCGAGTTTGGGGGTAGGCAGTGGCATGAGTAAAACCCAACCCAACTTGTTTAGTTTCTATTTAAAGCTGGGATCATCAGTTTTTAAAGAAATGGGAATTTAAGGACAAGTTTGCCCGTAAATGTTTATTACAAGCCATTATGGTAGTACTTGATGAAAAATAGTGTATAAACTAGAATTTAAAAAGGGGCATAGAGGGTGCAGTTGAAAGCAATTAATGTAAATTACTGGGTGTAAGAGGTCAAGTCTTAGCAATGGCATGCATCTGAAAGGCCTTAGTATAATTATGGGTAATGTTGTGAAAAATGTTCTTTAAAAAAAAGAAAGATGTTCTGAAATTATCCATTTGGTACCTGGAGGCAACTGAGCAGCACTGCAGAGCTCCTTGACTTTTCCTTGCAGCCCTTGTTCTAAGCAAGCTCATTCCTGCCTCGTTGCCCAACCCTGTGTCATACTGGCGCAAGTATTTTTGTAGCCAGTAGTATTTTTTGCAGTATTTTTGCTTGGCTTGCCAGATCAGGGAGAGGACTATGCTTGAAAATAACCAGATTTAAAACTTCTTTGGCAGGAGAGGGCTTGGATGAGATCAGGCTGGCTGATATTTCCCACTGGAATACAGCTTGACAACACAGCTAAGCCAAACTGGAGCACCAGCATTAAAATGCTGTCTAAGTTAAATACTTGGTTTAAATTCTACCTTATGGCTTTTGTTGTGTTTTTTTGCTCCAGGGGAAATTTTTTTTTTTTAGTGTTTAGTACACTCTTTGCTGAAAGGTACTTTATTCTTGTCAGGCTTTTTATAGATATTTCTTGTAAAATGAGCATTTGGGGATTGTCTGATTACTCCTAAGCCTAAAGCCATACTGGCGAACTGAAAGGACAGTGCCCACTTTCCATTGTTACCATCACATATCCATCAAAATAAACCCAAAGTCTACTTTAGGGGCCTGACTGTGCTATTTTTAACATGCACTGAGAAGTCAAATGTGTTAAAAAAGCCTAAGCAGATCATGTCTGTAGAATGCCTGTCATACCTGATTTTACTTTCTGATAACTTTACAGGACCAGTTTTCCCTAACACTGTGTTGACAAGCATAGTTTATTTTTCTGTCCAGGGAACTTGTTAATTCAGGCAAGGCATAGCAAGCAGTTGTTGGAAGCTGAATTCAGATGTATATTCAAATTTGAGGAAAAGCAGTTTGCAGACCCAAGGTAATTAACTATTGGAACAATTTCCTTGGATATCTGATAGATTTCTTATCATTGGAAGGCTGGAAATCAGCAGTAACATTGTTCTGTTTCAGCAGAAGGTTGAAGGAGATACTGAGTAAACTTACTTGACCTGTTTAGCCTGACTACATTGATTCTGACAAGTACCAATGGATTTTAAGGAAAAGAAGAAGTGGAAGTTACTGGAATAAATGCAGATTATTACAGGCAATTTACAGAGTACTTCCATATAGAAAACTGCCTTTCTGAGCTGGAAGCAGTCTGTTACCCAGTTTTCCCCTCAGAATAAACCTCACCCAAAGAGCAGATCATAATTGCAATTAAGCAGAGCTTCCTCAACCCCACTCTAAATGTGGATTTCATTTGCTGGATAGGCACTTGCATGGAGTCAAGTTGGCTGAATGTTGCTGCTTGGACTCCCTCTGCTCCAAGCAGTCTCCACGTTTCTTCTGATGTTTTCCGTAAGGAGGATGGAAAACTGGTCCCTGTGCTTCAGATAGAGTGGAAAGTGGCCACGGATGGTAAGTGGTGGTTGTTTAATTTGAGCATGGAGCAGAGGAAAAAGTAAGGATAGAAAGGAGAATTATAACTTCAAGTCATAAAAGCAGATCTTTGAAATGGGAGAGATTGGCTGCTTAATTTTGTTTGGTGGGTGTAATCTCGTCTTTGTGTGCCTTAGTAAAGCAATAATTGTCTCATTGTTGGAGCCTAAATGACTACCAATAAGTCACATTTTCTCACTCACCAAATATCTTTGTTTGTTTGTCTGTACATGGTGCTTCCCTTGCATGCTCTTGTCCAAAGTTTTGCATTGCTTTAAGGCAGAATTAAACACATTCATCTCTTCCTTCTGCAGGGACTGTGTCTGAGGGCTGTAGAGTTATGCCCTCTAGCTATGGTAGTGTAGAAGCAGGTGTGACTCAGGTAACCCAGTCATTGAACTCACCTGTGCTTGTCAGCTCTCCCCCTGGGACAGCGTGTACCAAAATAAAGGCGTGTTTGCTTTGGCACCCAAGCTGCATGAGGCAGCTTTGAGGGGCAGAGCACAGCACGATACCACATCTGTGGAACTGACAGGGTGTGTGGAGAATGCATCACCTTCTCCTCTGCTCCTTCATTTGCACAGATGTAGCTTTGCCATGCAGGACAACCTTTAGGCTGAGAGTGCTGTTAGTCACCCTGCATTCTCACTTTTCCACGGCCACTTATCTTTATGATGAGCTCCTCAGCACCTCAAAGCAGTTAGACTGTGGCAAGGCTAGGCACAGTGGTGCTCTCTGTGGGGGCTGCAGCCTCTCCTTGTGCAGAGGAGAGGGAAAGGTGAACGTGTCCCTCTGTCCCTGTGCCTGCAGCCAGCATCCGCTGTCTGGAAGGGGCAGAGCTCGCCGTCATGCAGGTCAGCAGCAATCAGCAGATCTGTGCCCAGTTTGACTTCCAGAACAATTTGCCTCTTCAGGTCCGTCCGGATGGAGGCCGGGTGAGTGCAAAGGGCTCCAAATTATGTTTTCTAGTCCGTGGAATTGTTTCTGCTTTCACTGTTTTGTGGCAAGGTTATTGATTAAAAGGTACAGACTGCTTAGAGTCTGTGCTGGACTTGAGATCTGCTGTCATTTCCCATTTCTCTTGCACTCTGCCCATCCTTCAGGTTTTAAGAATAGCTGCTTTTAGTTGCCTGGCATGTTTCATCACTTGGGAGGTTGCTTAAAGCAAATAATTGTAGGGGTTCTTGCATTCTGCTTGAGAGTATGACATTTTATAGCTTTTAAACTCAACTCTTACTATTGCTTCCACTTCTTTCTTGTACTCTCTTGTGGAGGAAAACACCAACCTTGGGGGTGGCCGTTCAGATTACATTCTTTCTAGGAAACTCATCAGAAAAGTTCTGAGCATCCACAATAGTAAGGAATACAAACAATAAGGAGTTCATTCCTTAATCACACTGAATTTGGCCATAGTTACCTTACCACTTACCAACACCACTCTCCCAGAGTGCCTCTCCTAGAACTTGCACAGCGTTGCTGATGCAGAAAACAGTATAGATTTAAGAATATGTGTATGGAATGGCCAGGTACAGAAATACATATGTATAAATGCAATTCTGAATGCTTAGCACTTGCAAAGTGCTACAGAATTCACACTAGACTGAAATTTCCATCTTGAAACTGCTTATTTTATTCTAGTCTCCTTTCAGTTCAGAATGTAGTTTGGTGGAAGTTCCATGCAGTGGAACACACTGGAACACAGTAGTTTGGCATAAAAGTGTTGTATCATCTCAAAGATCCCAAGAAAGAACTAATTCTAAGCAGAATAATTGAGTCAGACAAAGAGACCAGGTATATTTAATACACTTGAGCTCCAATTTTTCATAGTCAGGCTTCAGTTAAAGGATTACATGGGATGAGGGCCAAGTCAGCTGTTAATTGCAGTGGAACAGGGCCAAGTCAGCTGTTAATTGCAGTGCTTAAAGAGCAACATTGTCCTTTAAAGTCCTTGTGTTTTGTTTGCAGTGGAATTTCACTTTTGACCGTTTTGAAGTAGAACCTGGCCAGACTTACCAAGTGACTGTGTATCACCTGCCCAAACTGGGCATAAATGGAGACTACAATTGCAAGTCCACTTCTCTTACAATGCCTGGTAAGAGGTGATTTAGTTCACTTATGCCTTGAGTTTAGGAATGTGGTGGTTTGTGGGCCTCTGGCAGGAATTTGGGGGTTTGTGGACCTGACATCACTGCTGCTTTTACTTAATTTTAATTATTTCAGAGCTGCCCCTGTGCTTGTGGCAGCTGGAAGTACAGGCCAGAATTTCCAAATCACAAGTTTGGCTTCTAGTACTAAATCCTAGACATGTGAAGTTCAATTTCAAAGGTACAGTTAAGCATAATTTACCAAGAAACTTGGTAATGCTGGGTGCCTGACCCTTTCTTGTAGATGCAAAAATTCTCTTATCACTAAAATAATTTTTACTGCTCCCCAAGGTTGCTGAGCATCTGCAATCCCTCTGGCTGCACTGACTACTTCATTAATATTTGGTGCTTAATACAGATCTTGAAAACTGGTTCTTAAATTTTTTCTTAGCTTACTTATAGTTGTCAAGCTGACTTTGTTGCAAAGTGTGGAGTGTGTCAGTCAATGTGAGCTGGAAAAGGAGAAGGGAGCACTTCATTTTCAGTGCTCATACCCTTTCTTCTGCTTGTTCACACTAAGAACTTCCTGGCTTTTATCCTTTATTACTCTTCAGAAACCTATTATGTGGTGTTAAGCTCAGCAGCTGCAGGGAGCTTTGCTGGTTAGAGCCTACACATGAATTACATTGTAGACAGACATTGTAAATTTGTAAACTTTGTAAAGTTTAAATTGGTAACTTTGAAAGTTGGAAATTTAAGATATGAAATGTTTTCTCTCAACTGTCTAAGCAGGAAGTTGTTACTTTTCCTTTGTCCAAACCCTGGAGGAGAGACATAATTTAAAGCTGAGAGTTGTAAATCCCACATTGCTAAATGTTGAATATGTAACTCTGGATTTAACTCTGAAGGAAGTCCCAAAAAGCAGAGCCAATCTGCTAAATAAAGGAAATTAGAAATGTGGAAGATTTCGGCCTCCTGATTTTTCTATGTCAGAATGCCTTTGGAGAAAGCTATTGCTGAGGAGTGATTACAGGGTGTGGGGATGAATATGAAGTTTTAATTCCACTATTGTGACCTTTTCTGCACCAGTACATTCTATTAAGTGTGCTGTGTTTTTAGTTTCATTCATTTTCTCTGTTCTGAGAAGAAAAAGAAGAACCAAACACGCCATGACATGAGTGTAGGGACTGTTTTATATGCTGGAGATCACTATTGTTCTTCTACAGAATTTTATCACTGCTTTAGAACAAAGGTGTCTACTCGTTTAGGAGAGCTTGGTTAGGTCTCTGTCTTCTAATAAAGAAATGTCGTTTTTTCCTAAAAGGAAGTACAATATTTCTGACTAGCTACTGATGGTTTTTCTTGCAGATTGCAGGGATTCTCTGATGAAAAGAACCATCCCATGTATAAAGACAGGTAAAATTTTTTGAGTCACATTGATGTGGGTGCTCTGTTGGGATATTTGACAGTTGAGAAGCACAAGAATATCTGCCCTACTTCTAGGCAGCTTGTGGGAACCCAGGATCCAGGGTAAAAGTCTAGATGATGCAACGCTGCTCGTGAGCTTCCACCCATGGATGGAGCCAGCCCGGTACCAAATCCATGTGTCCAGTTACCTGAATGAGAAGAGATGTAAAATGACCACCCATGATTTCACTGAGGTAAGTCCCTTCCCAAGTCATACCTTCTCTGGAGATTTAGGCAAACATCTTAAATGCTTGCTAAACCAGGACATTTGAACAATTTTCAAGGAATTATTTTTTTAATTGTCTTTGGAAAGAGAAATTTGGTGGATAAAAGATAAAAAAATAGGTTTTATAATGCATGAAGCAGCCTATAAACACCTGCAAAGTCAAATTTTATGTTTGACTATCTGGGCTTTTTTACCTTTTTCAAGCCAGTGCCTGGGGAGCTAAGACTAAGCAAATTAACCAAAATTAAGATGCTACGTTTCAATAAATCATTGAAGTACTTTATCAAAGATGATCACAGGAAGGTGTTAATTAAATCTTTTATATAAGAATGAGTGATTTACTAACAGATGCTTCATTCAAGCTGAGAATCAATTTCTGTAGGTCTTGCAGTCTGTGTTGCTGAGAAGCTCAGAGTGTCCAGACTGTGTTCCAATATAAAAAATGTTTCCCTTCAGGCATTTGAGGGAGGGGAAATACTGATTATTTGGAATCACTCTCCACCCTTCCTTGCATGAGGGCAGATATGCTGGCATTCCGTTTGTTTAATCTTTCTATTCCTTAACACTTAAAACCCTTAGTTCCTTAACACTTAAAACCTTTGTTTAGTCTTTCTATTCTTTAGCACTTAAAAGCCTTGCATGCACTGACTGATATGTTTAAGCTTTTACTGACACAGATGGGACAGCTGTGTGAGTATTTCCCTGGTGGAGGGGAATACACTTCATTTTGGAGTTTGTATCTGCTAATCACTGTGAAGAATTAGGTTATCATGATATTGATTGTGTACAGCAGGTAGCAAGGGCAATTTACATGCCTGTTCTAGTGTCAGAAGTAGTGTTGGCAGGTGCTTTTAATTAAAAAAGGAAGCATGTTAATGTTTACACGTTGCAAAGCTGAAGACCTCTGCATTGTTAAGAAACTGTAAGTTTAACTCCTTTGAAGTTGTACGAGATACATCCCTAATTATTTCCTGTTACCTGTGCAATCTTGGCCTGCTGTCTTAATTGCATTGCCACATCTGTCACACAGGACACCTGCAGAGATGGTGGCCAGATCCTTTACCCATTCTGTTCTCTGTGGGCTTCTTGTTCAAAAGGAAAAAAATAGCTTCTGCTTCTTTGGACCACTCCATTTTATCATGTCAGCTCTTTGGGTTTTTTTTTTTTTCCTGCTTTCATTCAGTTTTCTTCCTTCCCTTATAACTTGCATCTGATTTCTGCAGGATGGACTACAACAGCGAGTGAATGTCACAATCAAAATAGAGAAGAACATAAAAGCTTGCTGTAGCTACCAAGTCCAGGTGAGATTACACTGTTGTCCGTGTCCTTCTTTCACAATTAAGGCAGTGAGCACTTTAGGAATGTTAGGAGTTTTTTTCACAGTGTTTTGTTCTGAGATTAGCTAATCTGTAGTTACCTGCATCAGGGAAATATTATGGCTAAAAGAATTTTTATATAGGAATTCTCTGTAGTTGGTGGCTTTTCCTTGGTACAGGGCTGCCAAGTCAGAGATTATGGGAGTGAGAATGGCAAATATGCAACCTCAGGAGCTCACAGCCTTTGCCATGTATTGTGTAAGAATTCTTGATTAATCTTGTTTTCTGAAAGGAAATGGGGATTCTATGTCTCTGTGCTAAAATGCAAAGAACATTGAGGCAAGGAGAAAGTAAATCAGGGAACAAAATTTCTTTTAAGAATAACTTCTGTTTCTGGATTCTTTTCAATTGCAGATTCAGCCATTCTTTGCAAACTGTGGCACAGACTGTCTGAGACACTCTGCTTTCATCCCATGTGAACCACTTCCAAGTGAGAACCACTTCTCTGTAGATTAGATTCCCATTGTTGTACAGCTGAAAACTGAATTTTTAACATAACTCTTGTCTTTTGCAGGTACAGAACCATCGGGTAAGAAGTTCTTCCAATACCCTGAAACTTTTTTTGCTGCTCTTCTCCTGTTGTGTAGAATTAGAAATAATCCTTCTTCCTAATGACCCAGTGGGCATGAAATGTCCCTGTTGAAAATTTTATATTATTTGAAAATCATGAACCGCCCATAGATGGTGCAGAGGTGGTATATTAACTGTACCAACCATATTTGGAACCCACCAAAACTCCCACTGAAACCTCAGAGGATGTGAAAATCAGCACTTGGCAATCACTTGGTAAAAAAACACCAAAGCAACAAAGAGCAAGGAGACCCCACACGCTAATAAAGCTCTTGGTCTGGACTGTCATGTGAGGGATGGAGAGTTTAGGTTTATAAGGGTTTCATTGTTCAGGGATTTCTTTATTCTTCTTTTGAGCCACCAAGTTCACCCAGCCAGGTGTCATAATCAATATGTGCAATAAATCTCTCTGATGGAGATGAGAGCCTGGTGTCTAAAATTTCTTTAACAGTCCCCTTGTAGCACTGAGTTCAGAATTAATTGTGCTAAGAATGACTTCACCATGATTTAATGAGGCAAGTATTTGTATGCAGTGTGAACCTTAAAGAGCAATTTTTTGTGAGACACTTCACTTGCATAGAATTCTTTGAGAAGCAGTTTTGACAAGAAGAGTCTTAATATAAAATACTTTCTGTCACTTTGCTCAGTGTTAAAAAATTTGCATAATATAAAGCAGCTTTTGGAGAGAATGGCATGCATATATTCATTTTTATGAATGTCAAGATAACTTGCGCATAATGATTTGACATCTTTTTTTTGGCTGCAACACCTATAGGGATCTTTTGCCTGAGATTAAAAAAAAATTTTAAAAGGAAAAACACCTGTAAACTGAAATTCATGACCCAAAATAGTGAAATTTTAATTTTTTTTTAAACTGGATTACATGAACAGGCAGGACATGGGCGGCATGCCTGTCAAAGCTGGGTAAACATTGCTATTTAGAGGAAGGTTCTTGATCTGTGTTTTCAGTGTGCTGCACATATGGTTTTTTATGTGGAGCAAGTTTATGGTGTACAGCAGCACCATGAAAGCAGGAATTGGTTTGGAGAAGTGACTGTGGATTGTAAGGGGGAAGTACTGGTCTACTCAGCAAAGCCAGGGCAGCCCTTGGCTTCTGCTGCTTGAGAACCTTCTGCTCTGTGGTGAAACTCTGTGTAAGACAGTGTCTGAGGAGTGGTTTTGTTTTGCAGATGATATGATGATATGGCTCTACTGGTGTATCACTGGGATCTCTGTGTTACTGGTGGGGTCAGTCATAACAGTTGTGCTGTGCATGACTAAAAAACGAGCAGGTGAGACTCATACCAGCCAGGAAGAAAAAATCCAATGCTAAAGAACAGTTTTTCTCTTTCTGTACCTATTCTATTGCAGTTTTGTTCCTTGCTGTTACAATGCCTTGCCTCTGAGATAATGCCTATGAAAACATCTTCTGTTTTACATTATAGGATTGCAATGTCCTTATACCATTCACTAGATAAGTAAAGCCTTCCACAGGTTATCCCCTCTGATGCTCCATGTTCATAGCACTTCAGAGTTCATGAGGGGAAAAAGGAATTTCATAGTTCAGCCCTTTGTTTCCTGCAGATTGCTGCAGATTTTTGCACTTACTTTCCCCCTGCATTGCATAAGTGTTGCAGAACAGAAGTTTCCTGTTTGTCCACACTGTTGTCTTCCCTATGTTCCCCAAAGTCTTTGCAAAATTTATTTTATACTATTGTGAGATTAGATAAAATTTTACAATTGAAGTAGAAGGGGAAAAAAAACACAGGATAGAGACTGACATCAAGCAACTTGGAAAATTTGGTACTTAAGGGTTAACTCCTAGTTTCCTGTGCTGCAGCCATGAGGTAGTTATCTCATGAAAGCTGTGTAAGTCACTGCTTGTTTTGTTTTCTTTTTACATGACAGGAAGAATTGGTAATCATTTGGAAAATTTCATAACATCAAACTCGTCTATAAGATGCAGCTAAGGACATTTCAGTCACCTCTTCAGAAAAGCTTCTTAAGAAAAAGACACGTTTAAAAAGTCCCTTCTCCTTAAAGAGAGGTCACAGAGCAGTTGGGGGTTCTGACTGCCAGGATTTGGGGAAGATGGTGAAAGTTCATTTTGAGTGCATTGTCTCCTCTCAAAGGAAAAATATAGCAAGAATTGTCTGTAGAATAGTCTTTATTCATTCAGTATGTTTTTTTTTTACAGTTTTATCTCCCTACACAGTTAAAGATTTTTTTTAACCTAGTCTGTGGAAGGTGGTGTGATTTTAAGCATTTAATCTTACTTCATGTTTTCAGAACTGACAGTGACCATCTCTCTTTCAGAGCGCCGGCGAAGGAAATGCAATCACGACAGTTTGCAAGCTGGTAAGATGCCACCTGTGTTTCGTCAAGCACCTGTCATGCAGGTCTCACAAGATGCCCAGAAGGGGCTTTTGTAGGCTCTAACTACTCTGTAGATGCTTTTTGAAACCAAAAGTTAGCCTTAGGATCTTCCTGTTTAGCTAAAAGAAGCTGTGTATATGGATTTTGAAATGCTGTATTTGTGGGATGGGAGGTAATTGCTTTGGAATGTGGGGACACTTTTGACCCAGCCAAGGCTGTACTAGCAGAAGAAGCTTTGCTAATCATCTAGGCCATAGCAACAGGAGATTGGTTTGGGGTGGGTGCACTCAGCTCTCCACCAGAGAATACAGCAATATTTGCAAACCTCTTGAAGCTGCTGTAGTGTTTTAGTGAGGTGAAAGCTGATGACTCATATGGGCATTATTATAAATCACAGCTCCCCTGTGTCAGTACTTTCATATCAAATTTACAAAGTGAGATGTTGTCCATATATGTTGCCAAAATAGCACTAAAGCTAAGTTTTGTTAATACCCTCCTGTGCTGATGAGTGCTGACTCACACCATTTACAATTTGGGGAATGTGGCTGTAATTAATATTTTTCTGTCTTCCATCAGCACCGCACACCGAGCTGTCCCTGCCGCCCTTGAAGCTGCGGAAGGTTTGGATTGTGTACTCTGCTGATCACCTGCTCTACGTGGATGTGGTGATGAAGTTTGCTGAGTTCCTGATGACAGTCTGTGGCACTGCTGTGGCCTTGGATCTGCTGGAAGACCACCAAATCTCGGAGCTGGGGCCCTTACCCTGGCTCACACGGCAGAAGAAGGAAATGGAAGAGCTGTCTTCAAAGATCATCATCTTGTGTTCTCGGGGCACCCAGGCCAAATGGCAGGCCATGCTCGGGAGTGAGCCTGTGTGTCTCAAGCAAGATCAGCAGAAGCCAGTGGGAGACCTGTTCACCCCAGCCTTGAATCTGATCCTGCCAGATTTCAAGAAGCCAGCCTGTTTTGGAATGTACATAGTTTGCTACTTTGAGGGAATAAGTAGTGAAAGAGATATACCCGATCTGTTCAATGTCACATCCAGATACCAACTGATGGACAAGTTTGAGGATATTTATTTTCGGATTCAGGATCTAGAGAAGTTTGAACCTGGGCGGATCCATCGAATCCAGGAAATAACAGCTGAAAATTACATCGATACCCCCAGTGGGAGGAAGTTGAAAGAGGCCATAGAGACGTTCAAGAACTGGCAGACTGAGCACCCAGACTGGTTTGAGAATGAAACCATCTGCTTGGATAGTGATGAAGAGTTGCATTCCCTGAACAGAGAGAGCCAGGTGGATTCACTGCTGAGTGAGCCAGGTGGAATTGTGAAACACCAGCTGCACCTACATGAGCCTGACCCCGGCTGCTGTTACACCATCAACCTCCACATGCATGAAGGTGAAAGTGCAGGCTGCAAGCTGCAGCCTCAGCTTAATCCATGTGGGGATCCAAATTCCCAGACTGTGGTCCTTCCTCTGGATGTTCCTCCAGTTCAGGTAGTGGAGCCAGTCTCTTCCATAGAAGATAAAAATATACTCAGTTACCATGTGCTGAGTAATGAAGACTGTATGGAAGGAGTTCCTCTTCTGGAGACAAGCTTTCCAATGAGGAATAACGTCATCCTCCACGATGGCTCTGAAGCTTCAGTAGCTGACCAGAGTCCTGCGAACTTGTCAGATGTCCTGAGTGACCATCTGAATGGACTCATGTACCCTCTTTACCAACAGAGTGTCATTCCTTCAGAGCCTTATCTCTGTCAGGGGGAGGCTGACGAGCAGAACCAGCTGGTCTTTGTTGACCCATGCAAAGACCAAAGACAGTCAGTGCAGTCAGACCAGGGCTACATCTCCAGATGCTCCCCTCTGCCTCCTGAGGACCTTCTAGAGGAGGAGGAGGAAGAGGAGGAGGAGGATCAGGAGCAACAGGGGGGCTTCCATGAACTCTCTCCAGAGGTTTTGAACAGCCTAAAGAGCCTCCAGAAGCAGCTGTTTTTCCAGGACATTCAGAGGTGCTCTAGCTGGAGCTATCCAGCAGAGGTGATGGACATTGACCAATCTTTGGAGGACTGTTAGGCTCTGCCTGGGACCTGCTCTGTTTGAAATACAGGGATGGAAGGTGGTCCCATGCAGAGTAGTACTGAGGCTGCATTTCCAGCACTGTCCTTGTATTGTAAATGGCTTAGTGCTGGGACCTTCCTGTGTGCTGCTGGGATGTAGCACTGCCCAGCAGACGTGGAGTGTTGCTTCCAGTCTCTGTGGAGAGAAGCCACGAGTGTTGGCCACCCCTGTGAAAGAACAGGCAGTGGTTCTGTTCCTTGGGGAAAAGCATTACACTGACTTCTCACTGATGGATGGCAGAAAAATTACTGTGGCTCATCCACTCGTGCCTTCAAAATGCCCTCCAGCTGTACTGATTCCATTGCACTGGATAAAAAGTCACAGGCATGGTTTAGATAACGTGGTGACAGTTGCCATTTTAATGCACATTTTAAACATTTCCTTGTAAATACTGTATTAAAGATGTGTGCCTTAAATTTCATCTATATTAGGGCTGTCTCTGCCTGGTTGATAAATGTGCCTAAAGATTTTTTTTCCCCCACTCATCATTCATTTGCAGCTGCATTTCCATGGTCATTCAGAAATCAAGTGGAACAGCTGATAATAAGTGGGATAAACATTTAAATTGAAAGTTTCCATAACTCTTCCTGCCTCTCAACTTGGAGGTATGTGCTTGAAAACTAGCAACAGCAGTGAAGGGGGAAGAGACCAAGAAATGGAATTTGGGTTTTTTTTACAGTTTTGAGAAATGTGGGGAAGAATCAGGGGAATCTGGTGTATTCTGTGACAACACTGCTGCAGTGCTGTTTGCTGTTGGATATCTTAGCACCAGGGATATGTGAACTGAAGATATAGATAGTGACACACAAGGAAATAAAGAGCTATTTTGGAGGAGGAAAAACTGTAGCCTCAGTAGATGCTGTTTTAGACTAGAAATTGTATCTGAGTTAAGGGAGGCTGAGCAAAAACGACTGTAAGATGTACTTGTGTGGGTTTAAGCTCAAGCACAGGTAGTTCAGGTTAACCACCATGAAATACTGAACAGACTAAGGGATTCATCTTCCAGGAGCAGCGATGGTGAGGCTGGCATTTACCCTGTTTCTTATCACTGTTCCTGCAGCCCACTGGATAAGCACCTGTGAGATGTAAATACATCCAGGCCTTTCTCCTTTGTCATCTTCCCATCCATCTAAGTTTACTTGTCAAAAATTTTTTTCTCAGCTTTTTTAAAATCTAATGTTTCAGAAAATAATCTATTCTTTTGTCTTGCAATTTATTTTGTATTGTGTGTATTTTATAATTTTGTGTCTAACCTGTGGGGTTTTCTCCTTAAATTAAAAATCAAGAATATTTTTTTTTATATATTCACTTAAATACTTCTGTGTCCTCAACTCTGCCTAACTCCTTTTGTTGATTTATATTAAGTTCTTAGTATTTGTTATAGAAATCTGAGGCAAAACTGAGCCAGAACTGAACTGGCTCATGAATGTCAGAGTATTCCTGCAAAGCACAGTATGGAGATGAGCTGGACAGAGCTGAGGGCCTGGAGCCATGGGAAGCACACATCCCATCAGAACGGGTGGTAAAGGAACTATTTGTAATTTCCATGCAGGACTCTTAGGACAGCTTAATAACAGAGAGAGAGTCCCTGCAGAAGTCCACACTTAAGGCTAGGAACCTTTCTGCTCCAACAAGAATCCAATCTATCCCAATGGGAGCTAAGCAAGAGTCAGCTGTGATCTCAATGCTTCTCCAATGAGAACCCATTTCCCAGATTATGTCAGTAATTGCTATCTTGATGATCCCACTTCTAAAAGTTTCTTTTATCTTACAGCAATTAACATGTAAATTTGATTTTTTTCCCCATGAGTCTTTTTCAAGTGGTATGAATTCCTATAAATCACTTAAATAGGAAGCTCAGAAGTGTCATCTGAATTTCCTTGCCTTAGTCATTCCCTTCTCAGATAACTCCCTTGGTGTTACAGCTCTTAGAATTTGCTTTCACTTACAAAAAGTTTGGTTGAAGGGAAAATCCAGACACTATTTTAGCAATCCAGTATGAGAAAAACAAGTAACTTTAACACATCTGTTGGTCTCTGTTCAATACAAAACTGAATAGCCCAGCAAGAATCAAAGGAGGGGGGAAAAAGGAACAAAATCAGCCACAAGTTTCTAATTTTATTTTAACAATCTTGCTTTTTAAAAAATACAAGTTCTGATTAATGCCAGGGGGATGCCAAGTGTCCATCAGCTACAGGCCTTATCTCTCATTTCCATTTCCCCTCCTGGGAGTCATCATCTCTTTTGTCAGGATAGCAAACAAAGAGCAGTAAAATGCTAAATAACTGAGTTGTGTAACAGAATCCCAAGGGACCTGTGTCTTAGTATGGCACAAATTCGTTCAGCAAAGTGTTACTGACCTGGACCAGTAATTGGCACAATGTACAGGAGTTGTGCAAGGTGCATCAGGAGAGGTACTGTTTGCACTGTCGTGGTACCACCATCTCTCTTCTGCAAACAGAAAGGTTTAAGTGGAAGCAAGAGCTCAATTACCAAAGATAAGGGAATTCAAGAGGAGGAGCAGGTTTATAAACAATGAAGATCTTTAAATGTTTTTTTCATAGTAAGTAATTGCAGGAGCAGCAGAGCTGCCCTTTTAGTTGCAAGGGGGCTTCTGTATAGCCAACTACAAGAGCTTTACACTCTCCAAACAGCACATTTCCTAACAACCTAGAACCCTTGGCCCCCCAAGGACCACTTTTTTTTCAAAGGAATTCTATGCAACACAAGTGTCAATTTGCAGGGTCGTGTGTCCCAAGCAACCTTTTCATCCATGGAAAAATCTGAACTGTGAGTTCACTGCCAATAGGTTAAATATGCCATGGCCATATGAATTTCAAATATGCCATTTTTCTCAATAACATCCTAACTGGAAAAAGGCACTCGCTTTTGAAACAGCAACTTTGTTATGGGCTATGAAGGGGTACTGAAGTAAGACTCATTAATAATTGTGCTGTGATTATTTTGATGTCTCAACTATGCTCATGCTTCAGTGTATTAGGGATTAGCACTTGGGTGCTATTGGGAGCTTGGCCATAGGAGTAGCCAAACATAGTTGGCGATGAAAAGCTTTTTGTTTCTTCAGCTTGTTTTTGGCAAAGTTGGTTGGGGATTTTTTTTTTTTTTCCTTCAGCTGTTTGACTGAATAATGGAGTAGTCCTAGGTTCAGGTATCACCTTATTCTCTCTTGAATAATTATTTCTGAGCTTCTACTACTTATTTAATGCTGAAAAAGGAAGGTGCAAGGAAACAAATATCTGTACAAGCATAATATGCCTGTAATTACACCTCCTTTGGCCAGGAACTTAGCATCCCCTCAACACATTTCACATCACATAGGAAAAGTTCACAGTACCAAGTTTTACAATCACAGTCACTCACAGCACCAAGATTGTCCAGACAAGAAGAAGTTACCGAAGAGAAAGGCCACTGGCCAAAATTCACACAACTGCCCGTGTAAGGGCTCAGGTTAAAAATAAAGCACTGGTGGGAAAGTTAAGCCTAGCTTTTGCCAACTCTCCATTTGGCACAAGGAGAGCAGCCAGTCACCCATCCTAGCTGCACTTCTGAACAGAACAGCACTACTGACCCATCTTTTCTAGGGGCTTTTCCAGCCCCTCAAAATCCATCAGCCACCAAGAGCTAGGGGAGGAGACACCCATGGCAGCCCCACTTCTGCCTCTGGGAGCTGGAAGTTACCAGACTGTAAACATTTTGTTGTAGCAGTCCACCGGAGCAGGCAGTTGATCCCACTCTGTGACAACGGAGCTGGGAGAGAGGCTCTGAAGCCCAGGTCCTGAAGGAAAGAATGAATGTGTGTGTGGAAGAAGTCTGGGCTGCACGTGCAGTCCTGCTGTGGGTAGCAGTTAGCTGTGCTTTATTTCCCCTTCCCATCAGGACAGCTTGAAAAAAATAAAAATAAACTTGCGACAGGAAACTGTTGTTTTTCACAATTATTGCAGCCTTGCCCAGATAACAAAATATAAACCTGGGAGGGGCAAAGTCCTTCCTCCAAAGGACTTTGGTCTGCGTGCTCCTCCTTCCATGGGGCTGGTTTCAGGAGCAGCAGCAGCCATGCAGAAGATCAGGCCTTAACCCCACCCAACACTCATGGAGCTTAAAACCAAAGAAAACTGTGTTCCTATGAGAGGTTACTAGCAATTTTTCCCCACCTACCCTAAACCACATGCACACAGAGGACAGGATGCTTTCACCAAAGCTCGAGAGCCCCTCTGCCTCAAGGGCTCCTGCAGCACTTTGCTTTCTGTGCTGAAATGTGAGGTTCACTGAGCACGGAGCCCATCCCGAGCAGTGCCAGCGTCCTCTGCTCTGCTCTTGGAGAGGGGGCACTTTGCAGGCTTAGCCCCATCTCTGCTCTTTCAAGCAGGCATGGAAGGGGGCTGGAGGAAACTTTCCAGCCTTTCTGGCTGTGTAAAGGAAGACCCTACGCTCCGTGTAAAAGAAAACCAACGCTGATCCCATAAACATGCATATTCACAGAGAAATGAGAGCCCCAGCACCTGGGGATGCCAGCAGGAGGCTGCTGTAAACCCTGTTCTCACCAGAAATAAATGTCTTGGTGGTTATGAAATGGGGCCCTAAGCCCTGGCTTATGTCCATGCTGGACTGGTTTCTTTAGCATGTGAAGTCAATGTAAGATGCAAAAGGTTGAAACACAGAGGTAGACATTTTGGCTAGGGGAAGGTGGCTCATGGGCTTGAAGTGACCGAGTGGCCAACATGCTTCCAGAGGTTCCTTAGCTGGTACACAGAGGCCTGGGAAACACAGGCAGCAGCTTTGCAAGACCTAGGGAAACCAAAGTGTGCTTCCTTTCGTCATTCCCGCACCTGGAGGCAACATCTGCTGGTCAGGCCCCTCTTGCATCTCATTATGGTGGTCAGCAGGAGTTCTTAAAGGAGGGGACGAAATGCATGGTCCCTGTTGAGGATGAAAAGCTAAAACTGAACCTTTTCGGTGACAAAGCAACACAATGTCCTGGGGGTGGGGGGAAGAGTGGGACCCTCCAGGCAGTGGAGAGGCAGAAGCACTAGAAGTCTTGTCATGAAGGAGAGGTGCGTTTCTGGGGGACAAGTATCATCCTTAGGCTCCTGCAGGTAGTCGGGTTTGTGCGGAGCTTCCGCTGCTGGATTTGTCCGTAAGGAAGGGAGGAGGGGAACGGGAGTCTGACAGGGAAACCCACGTCCCCTTCCCCTGCTCGGCCACGGCGGAGGGAACCTGAGCAGAACGCAGAGACAGAGACTCTGCCGGGAGCGGGCCCGGAGGCGGCGGGAGCCCGTCCGTGGGCGGCCGGGGGGGCTCAGCCCTGGGCGGTGACCGCCAAGGCGTTCACGTACCCGTGGGGACCCACGTCCACGTCGGAGAGCCCGTGGGCCAGCGGGGCGGCGGCGGGGGCGGCGGCGGCCGGGCCGTACTTGGCGGGCGGCGGGTTGGCGGCGGGGCGGAGGAGGCAGCAGGTCTCCAGCGCCTCCAGGCCGCGGCAGGTCAGGAAGAAGAGGTTCTTCAGCATGAAGAGGGACAGCGGCTGCTGGTAGCGCAGGAGCAGGAGGCAGCGCAGCGCCAGCAGCGGCGCGTCCAGCAGCCCGGCGGGCAGCAGGAGGTGCAGGGCGAGGCGGGCGGCGCCGGGCGGGCGGGCGGCGCTGAGCTCGTACAGCCACAGCACCGGCGAGGCCAGGCAGAGGAAGTAGACGGCGATGAGCAGGTAGCGCAGCGGGGCGGGCAGCGGCGCCGGCCGCCCGGGCTGCAAGACCAGCTCCAGCAGGGAGAAGCTGTCGAGCAGGTCGAGGCAGGTGGCGAGGAAGGCGGCGGCGGCGCGGTGCTGCGGCGGCGGCTGCGGCGGCAGGAGCAGCTGCCCGGCGCCCTCGGTGCCGATGGCCCGCAGCAGGCAGTACAGCAGCGGCGCGGAGAGCGCCAGCGTGATGCGGAACCCGGTGGTGCCCAGCGGCAGGCGCAGCTCGATCAGCTCCAGGATGGAGGTGCCCAGGATCAGCGCCGCCTTGGGCGTGAAGGCGATGGAGTAGATGAGCCAGGCGAGGTGCGCGTAGGCGAAGTCGCCGCCGCGGGGGGGGACCCCGGCCCCGCGGCCCCCGGCCCCGCGGCCGCCGGGGGGGCCGTGCAGCAGCAGCGGGTGCGGCGGCGGCGGCCCCGGGGGCGGCGGGGGCCGCTCCCGGCGGCGCGCCCGGCTGTTGCGGCAGAAGAAGATGCCCCAGCCGGCCGCCAGCACCAGGTCGGTGGCGATCCAGCTGCACCAGTACAGGTCGGTGACGGCGATCAGGTAGAGGTCCAGCAGCGCGCCCTGCCCCAGCAGCAGCACCAGGGACAGCGCCTGGAAGCCCCAGCGCCGCCCTCCCCCCGCCCCGCCGGGCCCCAGCAGCGCCCCCGCCGCCGCCCCGCCGCCCCCCGCCCCGCCGCCCGCCGCCGCCGCCCCGTACAGCTCCGCCGCCGTCATGCTGCGGCCCGGGCTCACGCCGCCGCCGCCGCTGCTGATGCTGCTGCTGCTGCTGGGGAGCGGCGAGGCGGCGGCGGGCAGCGGGGTGGCGGGCGGCGGCACCAGGGGCTTGCTGATGCTGCTGCTGTCCTCCTCCTCCTCCTCCTCCTCCTCCTCCTCCTCCTCCTCCTGTTCCTCGGCGCTGCTGCGAGGGCTGCGAGGGCGGCGGGCCCGCGCCGAGCCCGAGCTCGACCCCGAGCCCCGCCGGCTGCCGCCGCTGCTGGAGCCCCTCTGGAAGAGGGGCTGCCGGTCGGCGGCGTGCGGCGGCGGCGGCGGCGGCGGCGGCGGCGGCGGCGGCTGGAAGGAGCCCGAGGAGGAGGAGACCGAGCGCTGGTTGGAGGCAGCGCGGTGCATGGTCCTCCCCGGCCCCCGAGCCGGCGCGCCGGGCCCGACGGCCGCGCCGCGGCCCCCGGCCCGCCCCCGGCCCGCCCCCCGCGCCACCGCACCGGGCCCGGGCCCGGCGGCGGCAGCGGCGGCGGTGCGGAGAGCCCGAGCGGCGGCAGCCGGCGGGGGAGCCCGGGGGCGGTGCCGAGCAGCAGCCGCAGCAGCTGCCGGAGCCGGGGCGGGCGGCTGGCGGCGGTGGGTGGGCTGGGGCTGGGGCTGGGGCTGGGGGAGAGGCTGCGCGGCCGGGGGAGAGGAGGAGGGGGGCGAGAACGGGAGGGTGAGGAAGGCGCCCCCGCCCTATCCTCGGGGATGCTCCCCTTCCACATGTCGGAGAGCATCTTGCCTCCTGCCCCGCAGGAACCACGCGAATGGGGCGAGTCGCCCATGGCCATGGCACAGCACCGCGGCACCCATTCCGTAATATCGGAAGTGCTTCGCTCTCCCCTGGCTGGCCCCAGGCTGGCCAAGACAAAGACCACTTGGCCTGGCACAGAGCCTACATTGAAGCGCTCATTTGTGGCTCATCTGCGCTGCTGGACATTCATCTGCCCCTACATTTGGTCTGGTGTGCTTGTTCATTGAAGTAAGTGTCTTTTATCCCAACAATTTTCTGAGTTGAGCCAACCCAAATGCTGAGGGCTCTGCCCAGTTTGCCATGATGTGATAGAGCCTTTGAATTGATATGAATAGCTCTAGAGTTATTACTTCTGCTGAAAGCAACAATCGGGACCTTTCTTGACCCACTATTAATGGCCTCAAATTGAGCTTAATAGCTGGCTGCCTCTGTTTATCACCAGAACTAATGGCTTGGCACGTCGTGTTCCAAAGTGGCTTGGTGCTCAGCATCACCAGCTCCTCATTTGTGCCTGTGCTCACCAGTGATGAGCCAGGTGCTGCCTGACAATGATGTGAAGCACATCGAATAAACTGTCTCCACAAATGTCTTTATTAACTACACTTTGCGATAAAGATCCAAAATAGCTTCACATTTTTAGCATGTTGCTGAATCAACACATGGCACTGAGCAAATGCTGCTTAAGACTGGGAAAGGACATCCAGGACAGCAGTGACAACCATCTAATAAATGTTATTGCAGACTCCCTGAGGAGCCCTGCTTCAGTCAATGTCCCTGGCTGCTCCTGGTTACAAAGAGAAATCAGTCTAGGATGCAATGAGGATTCATGCTTAAACTTGAAGCAAAGTAAGGGGGAAAACTGAGTAAGGGAAAAAGAGAACATGGGGTGCATTGACACAAAGATTTCTTTGGGCACACAGCAACAATCAGGAGTACAAGCACGGGAAGAGAAACAGTCACAGCAAAAGCATTGCTGTCAGCGGAGACTGGAGCAAGGGGGTGCAGATAAATTAGTTTTCTAAAAGCATGGTCAGAACAGAGGGGGAAAGAAGGTAACTGGTGGCTATGCAAGCTTTAATATGGTTATTTGGGCAGCACAGGACTGCAATGGTACCACATCTAGGGATAGCAACAAGCAGCTGTTCCCATGGTCCCCCGCTACCCTGCCCCTAAACCCATGCTGCTGCATCCCTGCTTCCATACCCTGCTTGGCTGGGCTGCAGCTCAGAGGGGAAACATCTATTTTGTGCTACACTAACACTGTTTTTGCAATGTTGGGATATACTTGCCAAGATTCAGCCTTGTACCAGCAGTGCCTGTGTCACTGCCCTCCTCTCAGTCCCCTTGTCAGGGTGCCCAGCAGAGATGAGACTGAACACGCCATGTGTTTCCTTGCTGAGGGCTTTCTCACTAACTCCACATTTCCATTAGCAAATAAAAACAATTACTTTCAAGAAGGTCACCAATTTTAGCCCTCCAAAGAGGGCTGTTGCCATTTTTTTTCCAGCAGGTGGCTGCATGACATCCTGAGGGCTGAAGACCTCTCAGAGCAGGCTCCCAGCAGCCCTGTGCAGCGCTGCCTGCCTGCATTTAGCCTGGGCAGCTTGTGGGCCTCTGTCAAGGTGCTTGGCCCAGGCATCACACCTCTGGCACCCCCTCTGCCCTCTGCCTTTCCCAGGGGCTGCTCCCCATGATCCACATCCCACATCAATGCCTCAAAGGTGCTGCTAGGTTGCTGCAGCAACACAGGGGCCCTTGTTCCCTCTGCATTGTGGGGGCCCACGACCACCCATCACAGGAATGTGGCAAGGTTCTGTGTGCCTGAAGCAATGCAGCGTGGTGAGCAGCTTGGCCTGAGGAGATTCAAGATGCAAGACAGAGAGCAGTGATCCACCTGCCTTCCTTGCCAGATACACTCCCATCACGTTGGCTTTGCTCTCTAGCCTCCAGGGTTGTGTGGAGTGTCAGGGATGAGAGCCTGGGCAAGGCTTTCTCTCTTTGACTGACTTTACTGCCCAAGAAAAATCTATGACCAAACAATTGCTTAGACTTTTGTCTACAAAAGTCTACAATTTTTGTACAAACACTCCACTGAAGGCTCTGTGGGATGTCTCTGTTTCATAGGGAGCAGGAGGCTGGAGTCCATGGCCAAGGAGGATGATTGCTCTCTATGGCACTCTTTCATGCTCCTTGGCAGGTGTTGGGAGTTGCCCAGTTCAGGAAAGCTCAGAGTGGTGTGATACCAGCTGTGCCTCCTGATTTGGTTTCCACAGAAAGGCTGGGTTAGATGACAGTGTAAGTCTGTGTGGCCCATGGTAGAGGATAAAACCACATTCTTACGTTCTGGATTCTGACTTTTATCCAAGGTGGGTGGGCCCCTTCACCTGACTCTTCTCAGGCAAGCCACGATTCATGTGTGGTCAGCCCTCGACATTAGCTGAATTGATCTTGGTTGTGCCACATTCTGCTGCAAGGGGAGCTTTCCACTTCTACAAGAGGATGTGGAGTGAAAACCAAGCATCCGTCTGGGCTGCTCAGGGCAACAGCCCTCATGAGGAAAGAGCTGGTCCTGCCCTACCCGGGCAGCAGACAGGGACAGCTTTGCCTCGTTGGCTGTCATGCTCTGGATTTCCTGAGCAATGCAATTCCCTGTGTGCCGTAGGCTGGACATTTTCACTCAGCTGCCCCGCAGCCTGTCACAGGCACTCACACCTCTGCTTTTGATCCAGGCACTCATTTCACAAAGAAGCCTCATTCCCTAAAGCTTTGGGTGGCTGGCTGGTGTAAAGGGAACTGGGTGGGAATCCCTGGGCTTTGGGGGGGGGGGGGGGGGGGGGGGGGGGGGGGGGGGGGGGGGGGGGGGGGGGGGTGGGCTGTCACCCACAGCTGGTGTGCAGACCTGGGAAATGGGCTCTGGCCCTGCCAGCCAGGTGATGTGGAGAGCTGGGAGCAGGGAATTGAGGCAGCTGGGTGCTCAGGGGGCCTGCTGGGCTGAAGCTGTGTGAGCAGGACAAGAGCAGGCTCGTGGAGATGGTTCTCCAGACACCACAGGATACCTGCTGGGGCTGTGAAGGTTCTTGCACCCAAGTAGGTAAGTGGGAACAGGGAGGACCTGCGGCTGCATGGCAAGGGCAGCTATGACAAGGAATGGGGGAACACCAGGTAGGAGAGTGGAAGCTCAAGGGCTTCCTTGGTCTAAGCATAGGCTCCAGCAGTGCAAACACAACGCAAACAAAGAGGTGAGGGTAAGAAAAGAGCTTATTTGTAGGAAAGGAAGCAGAAATTGTGCCTCTGCTTTAAAATGGGAACGAGGGGGAAATTACTTCTACACGAGAAAGCACTGAAGAGCTTTTTGTAGCACACTGTAGGATGAGATATGACAAGCTGATGCTTCCCATGTGATTCAGTTATTTAATGCAATGTGCACTCCTTGGATGTGTTAGTGCTTAACCATTACCGTTAAAACATTAAAAAGTGAAACTATAAATAGCTTCTACACTTTAGCAGCTCCCAAGCTATGTTTTTGGCTTTTTTATGTATTTGTGTGTATGCACAGAGATGTGTGTGTATACATACATTTAAAGGCAAAGAGCAGACAGAGTTTTGTGCAATAGTCATACTGAATATCTAAAATGCTACCATTTTTAGTTTACACTACAAGTGGAAACAAGGGTGCCCTCAAAAATACCCCTGCTGGGGGAAGGCAAAACTTTCTTGAGGGCTGAACTTGGGAGGAAAAAAAATAATTATTCCATTTCTTGGGGGAAGAAAATAAAAAAAAAAAAGAAAAACAGGGCAGATATATGCCTGAAAGAAAGACCAGAAACTAGATACCTAATTATACCCTGCAGTAAGCTGTCAGAAACTGGCAGCAGTGGGAGGGAAGGAGGCAAAGCTGATCTCAAGGAGTTCAAGCATAATCTGCTCCAACCATACTTAAAATGCCTTTTGTGTGGGAAAGGAAGCTTCTGGGATTCTCTGACATGTGCTTTGTGCTGCACTTACCTAACCCGTTCAAATGGTCAGGGCTGAAGTGACAGATAAGTGTAAAAAATTTTCACCTGGCCAGCACCAAAATTCAACGATGCCTTGGCTTCTAAATGCAGCCTTTGTAACTGAACTGCTGATCCTGTGTTATGGTTCAGGGAACGCAGATCCTCTTCAAAAGGATACTGGAGTGTTAACAGTCTATTGCTTGTAATTACATTTCAGTTCAAAGAGCTTTCAATGCTAGCAGAAAGTGCCAAGACATTTGTTTTCATGCTTGTAGCAGGGTAGGAGCTTGGAGAGTGGATTTGGGGTTTGTTTTTGGTATTTTGTCTTCACTCAGTCTTATCACAGAGCATCTATTGATGTGACCTTGAGAAAGTGAAAGTTCTTCACGGTTTAGATGACTGAAAAGTAGGTTTACTATAGTGAATTAAGAGAAGTGTTTTCTTGATGGAGGTTTGGCTCCTAGAGATCACGTAGCTGACCTGCTGGTGCAGGGTTTTAAACTGTTGCAGACTGGATCTATGAAGGTCTGTAAGTGCATAGTGTTAATCAAATTAACTGCACCAGTAAAAAAAAAAAAAAAATAAAGATTTGTGCTTTTATAATTGGGGTTAGGAAGGCCTGGCAATTGAAAGGTTTGGACAGGCCCATAAAGGTACCAGGGCAAGCAGGGACCAAACACTTCCCAGGGGTTACCCTGGGAGGCATTTCTCACAGCATTCCCCTGGGAGCAAACTCCTCCAGGGCTCTCAATCCTTTTGTTCAAGTTGGTCCTTCTTCGGTGTTTAACTCTGCAATTTAGGCTGGGTAAGGATTTCTATGGTTCTCTAACTTCCAGCTCAGCCTCTCCTACCAGGGACACCTTAACCTTAGGCTGCCCTTGTGCTCTGACAATAGTGGTTAAAAGCATGCACCTGAGAGTTTCAGCTTGTGATCTCTCCCTGCTTAACTAAACCTTGATTAGCCTCACCTTGGGTGAGTGCTCCAACTACCAGAGCACTGGATAAAAGCAGGAAGCTGATTAACACTTGTTATCAGTATTTATTAGAGGATGGGGCTGTAGGTCACTTCTCCAGGATACAATTCAATTCCTCTCTCTGCTGAGATTGGGAATCCTTGTCCAGCCCCTCCAAAACTGCTTTACTGATTGTTGCTTCCAACATCAAGTTCTCAGAACTCTGCATCATACTTGTGTTGCTGTCTAATGTGCCTCCTGTGAGCTGTGAACTTGTAGATGGGAAACTTTTTGATAAAATATGAAAACCATGCAAGTGGATTGGCTGTTTCTAGATTATTAAAGATGATGGTTTCACCTAGCAGGATCTTGAATTTTCCATTGAAATCAGGGGAAGATTTTGGTTCTAGTCTGAAAGGTTGCTAGTCAATTGCTGAAGGGGTATCTTTCAGGGTGGGTTCCCTCAGGAAAATCTGGTAATAGCTTGAAGAACTGGAAAAAAGAAAAAAGAAAAAGCAAACAGAATTTGCCCTAATAATCTTCTAGGGCAAAGATGTGAAAGAGAGCAGGATAATATCCATTAAATGTACACACAGGAAGTTAAAATTCATTTCAAAGGAAACATCTTTTATTCTTTTACATATGTGTTTGAATAAAACAGCAACTTTGTAACTGCATTGAAATTAATATGAAATCTAAAATAATCACAGTTTGTGATTTCTCTGAATGATCTATAATCACTCTTCTACAGTGCACATGCCACAATCTGAAACATTACCATTTCTTGGAGGGAGAAATATGTGGCAGGATTAGGACTGGAAGGAAGGGGACAGCAGTGTTAGCCGAATGCCAGGTTAGCAGTTGCATGTGTCCTGTGGAATAAAGGAATTTACTTCTCTGGCCACTATATTATTGCATGCCATAAAAGCTCTTGGCTTCAGATCCAAAACAAGGTTCCTTCCTGCTAGTCTCAGTTGCAAGCTCCCTTCTGGCTTGACTAAAACCTGTTCATCTTTGGAAGATGGAGTTGCTAGGATCAGGTCTTTGCCCTGTTTGTTGTACAAGGCAGTGCACCATATAAATATTAAGGTATTGGATCAGCAGTGAAGTCCCCTCTCCTGCTTGGTCCCATAATTTGCACAGAAGGATGACAGCTCCAAAGGACAGAAATCTCCAAAGGACAGAACAGGACTGCTTCAGAGACACCTCTTCTGAGCAACACATGAGACAAAGGAAGAGTTTCATTCCAGCCATGCTGGAAGCTAATTCCAGGAAGCTGCAGTTCTAAGGAAAAAGGATTTCACCGGATTTGGCAATAACAGATGTCCATAAATTAACTGGAGATAAGCTACAAGCCTGTAAAACACTCTAGCACAGCTCATGGAACAGAGGAGACTTGCCAAGCAATGTCATTAACAGAAACCTTTCAGAATCAAGCCACTGTCCAACAGCAGCTGGAGAAGCCAGATTTCCTACTCCATCCAGTGGGTCCATGCAATTCCCTGGCAGGGACTTGGACAAAGTGCACTGTTTCAAGGAGCTAAGAAGGGGAAGAAGGGAAAGGTCTTTGCATTGCTCAGACCAAGGGCAGCCCATCTGGCTAATTAGTGCAGAGAGCAACAAAGCAGAGTTTTTTATGCAATAAAATATGAATTAGGGAAGAGGGTACAAGATATTTCTAGATTCCTTCTCCTCCCTTCTGTTCAATTTCAATTTGCAAGCAAAGCATTATTTTAAAATTCCTTATCACTTAAGTTCCTCCTATGCTTTTTTAAGACTCACAGATCATTGGTGAGAAAAAAAAAACAAATCACCAAATCCAGAGCTAAAAGCAGATTTGGCATCTGAAACAGATTCACTTCAGTCAGCTCACCTCTACTGCTATTCCAAAGATGGAGATGCCTGGCTCCCTCTCTGTGCAAATACAAACCTCCTCCTTGGAAGAGGTGCCACAGCCCTCAGGGTACAGTGGCTCAGCAGCACCTTTTCTCTGAGTAACTGGCACCACACTTCTAACAAGTACCAAGACAGAGCTCTGCCAAAGGCTGGCTGCAGATGGACAGACCTCAGCATTTCTGCAATCAGCACTCACCATGCTGGAGGTGTGGCTCATTTTTCCTGCCAGCAACCAGCTCCCTGAGGTCTATCTATGAGGACCATTCCAAGGAATCCCATGGAAGTTACCACCCAAGTCAGCAAGCACTGCAAACAAAGGGAGTGTTCCTTTTTCTGCAGTGGATGGCTCCTCTGAAGCGTGAGGTTGAGGGACACTGGAGGTACCCTAAGAATAAATGGGGTTTGGGCTCCAGTTTTAGGCCCTGCACATTGAGTGCACAACTGTGACTGTGGAGAGGTGCTGCAGCTAAAGGATCTTCCCTGTGCTATATCCCAAGTCCTTCCCTGTGCTTGCTCTTCTGGGAACTGCAGACAAGCCCTTGTTTTGTGCAATGAGATGAAATGGCAATTTCCTTCTCTCTCCAGTGAAAGGAAAAGGATTCAAATCCGTGTTCTTCCCATTACAGAAGCTTTCAGAAGCAGTCAAGCCCATTTTCATCCTGATGAGACAAAGGGGAAAAACACCAAGTAGTGGTAAGAGGAAGAAACTGCTTCCCATTGTGGATTTCACAGAGGGAAACGTATGCAAAGAGGTATTTTTCTGCTCCTATTCATGAAGGATAGATAAACAGAAAAGGAACTCTTTTGCCTGGATAACTGAAAGAGCACTTGATCTGCTTCACACACAGAGCCTGGCACAACTTAAGGATAGACCCTACGCTGCAGCGACCTTCCTAGGAAGACACATCAGTATGGAGAGGAGGGAGAGCTGCTGGAACAGAATTTCAGTGCACACGGATGCTGAGATTTGAATTAAGAACTCAGACTTCTGTGCAGAACATCTTGTTTGCACCTTGTGTATGGAGCTGCCTGGTAAAGCAGGAAGGTGGAAAGAAGAGGCAGATCAGACCCGTTTCTGATATTTCAGTGTAGTGTGAGCTGTCTGTAATTAGGCTGACCATAATTAGGAAAACCAACTCAGTTGTGTTGGCTCCAAGGCTTTTCATCACATAAAGGCTGATTTGTGCTTCTAAAATCACAGTGCTCCTCTGGAATTAAGACACTCCTCACTAAGGCAAATCTTTCCCAATAATTTCTCATGCAAACTGTCTTGCTTATCTTCTTTGGAATGTCTATGGAGACACAAGTCTTATCTTTCTGTGGATAGGAGAGCTAGGAGAACAGAGGCAATAGAAGGTGCATGTTGTTAGGGAAATGTTCCTGGGCAGGCAAGTTCCAGCTGCTAATTCATGTTAGGAGGACTCTACCTGCATGTTAAAGAAAGAGGAGGGACCAGAGGTCAGACTGTATGGGGTATTCCTGAGCTGCAAACCACATGAGAGATGAGAGTAACAAAAGATCTGGAAGACACAGACATTTTTATTCTAAAAGATCAGGCTTGGGAGTCTGGGGCTCTGGTACTATCCTGGCCTGATGATCTCTTTGAATCTTTGCATGCAAGGAAGGAGCAAAGGTGGACTGTGACTCTTTTTGTTTGGCCCTTGTTCCAAAGAAGGGCCCCTCTTGGAAGCTGTGCCAGCTGGAGCAGGTGGATGTTCCTTGAAACAGTTGGGATCAGAGTGGGTGCCAAAAGAGCCTCTTGCTGCAGCACTGAGTTCTGGGCAAAGACAACTCTGCCAATTCAAACTCTGTGGTGGTTTCCTCTGCTGCCGAATGCAGGCTGCTGGCTCCCTAGTGGGATGTGAAAAGGCAGGGGTGTTCACAGAATGCTAAACAGGGGGGAGGGAACAATATAACTTTCACCTCAGCCCTGCAGCAAGTTGCTCTGGCTACTGAAGCTTCCTTTGAGGGGCCCTGCCTCTCCACAGCTGCCAGATGACTGCAAAACAGAACTTTGTTTCAGGCTGACAGTGATGCAGGGGCAAATCCCCAGGCAAAGAGAATTTGTTCGAGTCCATAGGCACTTACTCTTCACAAGGAGAATGTTAAGCCTTGAAGCCCTCTCTTGGCATGGAGCCACCACAGCCCAGCTTCTGACATGCTCGAGTCACAGCCTGGACAAACAGCTCATTCTACAAATGGCTGATAGTGGCTCCTTGTGTGGGGAAGAGCTTCGCCCTCAAACAGCTCACAAAGAGGAGGGTGGGCTCCCCTGATCTTTGCACACAAAGTGTGGAAAAGAATGAGCTGTGAGAGCTGAACAAAATGGGGATTGCTGGGACAAGCGTACTCCTTATACCCTGTTTCCATTATGGCTCAATTATGGCTGGCAGCAATGTACAATCACAGTTCAAAGTCTGTGGGCAGCTGTCAGGATGGCAGATGAGTACCAATAACATCAAGGGGCTTTTAGTGCTGCAACAGGGAGTTTTCTTTAACATTAGCTAGATTAAAAAATCACCCCAGGTCCCTCCCCATTCTTCCCCTCTACCCTTTCCAGTACATAAACCCCCTTACAGCAAATCTTTAGGCACACCTGTCTTAACCCCTAGCTCCAGTTTTCTTTTTTAAAAGCAAGTTGCACAGCATCATCCACATCCTGCACTATGTAAGATGCCTCTAGCAGGCTGGGGTCGAAGGAGAAGTCCCGATGTCCATGGAACACTGTCTCCACTGTTTTCTTGGGAATGTCGCCGTTGTGGCGGTAGACCCCAGTGCAGACCAGAATCGACTCGCAGCTCTCCACCGAGTTGTTGCAGTCATTCCTCAGCTCCAGGGAAACCTCAACCTGGGGACTGGCTGCCTGTGGGCTCCTCTTCAGCCCAGCCTGGACCTGGCTCTGCTGAGCTGACTTGAGGTAGTTGTTGTAGAGGTTTGCCCCATAGACGTCAGACATAGGGTTATCCCTGGATAAGGTCACAGTGTGAAACAGAAAGGAGAAACAAGCCCATGGGAATGGGCTCAGAAATGAGAAACAAGCCCTCTGGCTCTGGGGGCCTCAGATTAAGACAGCACTGAAGGAGAAAGGCATGTGAGATAGTTGCTAACATCATGAGGAGCAACTGGAGTGGGCCAGTGAGTCTACCCACCAGTGAGTCCTGCTCAGGACATGTGCACCTTTCAAAGGGGAGACAGCACATCCCAAGCACCCAGAGCAGTTTCAGCCACCACTGGATAATAACTCCCACATTCCCGAAGTGTTTGGCCAAACTGAGCTAACACTACTACATCTGGGCCTCTTAATTGTGTCTTTAATTGAGTCACCCTATGTGCATTCTGCATCCTGCAATCCACAGCTTTGCTGTGTAGGGTGCAAAAAGCTAGCAAGCCTCTGTTCCAGGATGCGAGGCTCCAGAAACACCATCGGAATTTTGGTATTAACTTTAGAAATATCCAGAGGGGAAAAAAACCCAAGCAAGTAAGCACCACAAAAAAACCCAAAAACAAACAAAAACCAAAAACAAACAAAAAAAAAACCAACAAAAAAAAACTAAACCCACCAAAAAAACCAAACAAAACCAAAAAAAACACCACCACCACTAAAGAACAATCATTTTGCAACTCCCCAAGGAAACCAGGAGGAAGAAGTCTCTTACCCAACTGCATAGAGGCGTCGGATGGGAGCCTTCCAGCCCTGCTTCTCTGCCTGCTGTTGGATCAAGTATCGGGCATAGCGATAGGTGACTGGGCTGGGTTTGCCAATCAAGGCCTCATACTTCAGCTCCCTGCCTGTCACCTTCTTGTAAATGCTCTCCAAGCAGAGAAGGAAAGTGCCGTGGCCAAACCTGCCCCAGAAAGGAGGTCATCAGCATCCCCAGAAACACCAGTGGAGCAAGCAAGCACTCCTTGGTTATTGCCTGCTTTGGACATGGTGCCCACACACACTTCCACAGACAGTGGTCTGGCTTTTGCTGCTCCCCAGGTTTTAGCCTTTTTTTCTCATGCAGCTTTCATGTCTCTGCTGCTAATTACATCATACAATCAAGCTCTTAAAACATTCAAATGCTGAAAAAACACAGTAGGAAAAGATGATCTCCACAAGAGGAGTATGAAATTGGCTAAACCAAACACCACACGTGCTTTTCACCTGGGCATCTTGGCTTCAGCCATCCACAGGAGGTCCATGTTGCAGGCAAGGATAGGCAAATGAGGGTATGGTAAATCCTGAAGCTCTGCCCCAGGGTTCCCATTGCTCAGGAGTACATCAGCAATGAGTTGCAGGCTTGTCTCCCACCTCACTGGCTCACCAAACAGAATCACTCCTGCAAGATTTGGAGGAAACTGTTTGGAAACTCACAGCATTCAAAAGCCACCCGCTCACAAAACCCCTCCTGTGCTGGGCTGCCCTGGCAAGTACAGCTACCAGTGGAACATGGCTGGTGCCAAGGCTTCAGTCTGCACATCATTGCACCATGTGCACCACTGGTTCCAGATACTGGCACATGGCACAGGAAAAAGTTGCTTTTATCCATCTTTTTCCAGCAGCGAGGCTGCCTCCTGGCTGCACCCTCTGAATATGCTGCCCATGGATAGCAGTGAGCTGACAGCACATCATTAGCTCCCATCCCAGCTGGCCTGCATTGCTCTTAGCTCTGCTGGCTGCTCATAGGTAAACACAGGCCACTGCTTACCTTCTATAGTGGGGAAGCCAGTGGTGGGAGGAGGCTGCCAGAAGAAAGGAAAGGCTGGATTAGTAATGCAAAACCTAATGCCATCTCCAAAATAAAGCTAAAAACGCCTCCCTTGAACCTGCCAAGGCAGTTCCATAACACGGCAGGACAAAGCCACCTGGAACCATGAAAGAATATTTTTTTTTCCCCTCCCCCATCCCAGATGGGATTTCACAGATCTTGTACTCCTGTCTCAGAGCTGGAGATGTCAACCAAACCACCTTACCCCTCACAGCAAGGAACAGCAATGGAAGGCAGGCGTGGCATGAGAAAGGAGAGGGGAGAGTCACTGCCCTTTCTGCAGGAGCCAACACTGGGAAGAGCAGAGGGGCTGCTTGCTCAGGGTCAGTGCCAGGCTCCTGCTAAGGCACCTCAGTGGCAGCTGCCCTGTCCCTTTGCTGTGACCACCTCTGCAGCAGAACACCCCTTCTGCTGATATTTCAGGAAATTACCAGTTCTTTCGGCCTCCGGCTCAGGTCCACCATGTCTAATAGGGGATATGCCTTCCTCAGGGCCTCTATGGTGACCACATGCTTGAACCCCAGGCTAGTTCAGACCATCAAGGAATGTTGTGGAGACTGGTTTGTTTGGGTTTTTTTTTAAGTGACAGTTTTTCTTTAAGTTACTTGCAGAAGAATCTATAGGATTATGGAATGTAAGTCCTAGTAACACAGCAGTTAAAGCATAACCTTATGGTTTTCAGCCAGACAAGGAACCCTTCCACTAGACCAAACTGAAGCCCCATTATATTTGAGTTCCTTCAACTGCTGTCAGATTCTGGAGAAAACCTCATCGCTGGGACAGCTGGGAGTGATCTCTAATGGGCTTTGCCCTGAAAGAATGGGAGAAGCACAGCTTTATCTCAAAAATGAGACACCTAACGCTGACGAGTCCTCATGGTCACATCCCACCAACAAAACAGCAATCACAGGAGAAGTCATGAGCATGAGAAGCCAAACACTGAACAGGGGAGCCAGGAAGTGACCAGCACGGAGACCAACAGCACCTGAGCCTGTCCATAAGGACACTGCCCCATAAGGTAAGCTCAGTGACCTTCGTGTCTCCTTGCGCTTCAGGACTGAGCAAGCGAGTGCCAGGCTAGGGGAAGGGCAGGAGCAGCAGCCTGAGCCGGGGCGCCGCAGCAGCACAGAGCACCACGAGGCGCAAAGGATACTCGTGGGCGTTCTCCTCCAGGGGCCCCTGCCCGGCCACCAGCATGCACCTCTGGTGGAACTGGCTGAAGAGCTGCAGGGGGCTGTGGGACAGGACCACCTGCTCCGGAGACACCTGCGGGACGGAGGAGAGGCCGGCTGGGAGCCCAGAGAGGATTTCGCCCCCTTCTCCCGGCATCGCTGCCAGCTGCCCCTCCGCAGCCCCTGGGGCCGGGCCGGGCATGGGGGGGCTCGGGTCCCTCCTGCCGCCGCCCCGCCAGCGTTACCTGCAGCCCCAGCGCCTGGGACAGCTCTCGGGCCTTGGCCGAGCGCAGGCAGTTCCCGGCGTTGGTCAGGAACACGACGGGCACCCGCAGCCGCCCGCCGCCGTCCGCCAGCCTCTGGAAGGCGCGGCGGGCGGCGGGCACGGGCTGGCTGCCCCGCACCAGCACGCCGTCCACATCGAACAGGAACCCGAAGGCCGGCGGCTGCAAGGCGAGCGGAGGGCGCGATCAGCCGGGAGCCTCCCCGCCCGCCCCGCGCCCGCCCCGCGTCCCTCCGCGCACGCACCCGGCTGCAGAGCCCGCGGGCCGGCGGCCGCCGCAGCAGCGCCCGGCCGGCCCGCAGCGAGCCGCGCAGCGCCATCCGCCCCGGGCACAGCGCCGCTGGACTACAGCTCCCATCGGCCCCGGCACACCGGCCTGCAGCTCCCATCCGCCCCGGGCACAGCGCCGCCGGACTACAGCTCCCATCGGCCCCGGCACACCGGCCTGCAGCTCCCATCGGCCCCGGCACACCGGACTGCAGCTCCCATCCGCCCCGGCACACCGGACTGCAGCTCCCATCGGCCCCGGCACACCGGCCTGCAGCTCCCATCGGCCCCGGCACACCGGACTACAGCTCCCATCGGCCCCGGCACACCGGACTACAGCTGCCATCGGCCCCGGCACACCGGACTGCAGCTCCCATCGGCCCCGGCACACCGGACTGCAGCTCCGATCGGCCCCGGCACACCGGCCTGCAGCTCCGATCGGCCCCGGCACACCGGACTACAGCTGCCATCCGCCCCGGCACACCGGCCTGCAGCTCCCATCCGCCCCGGCACACCGGACTACATCTCCCATCGGCCCCGGCACACCGGACTGCAGCTGCCATCCGCCCCGGCACACCGGACTGCAGCTCCCATCCGCCCCGGCACACCGGCCTGCAGCTCCGATCGGCCCCGGCACACCGGACTACATCTCCCATCGGCCCCGGCACACCGGACTACATCTCCCATCGGCCCCGGCACACCGGCCTGCAGCTGCCCGCGGCCGGCGTCCTGCCGGCCCGCCGGGGGCTCTGAGGGAAGGGCGCTGCCCCTGCTTCGGGCTGAGCGGGGCTGCGGGTTTGGGCAGAGCTGGAGGGAGGAGCGGGTGTTGGAAGCAGCAGCGGAGCTGGCAGGACCCCGATGCGGAGGGGCACAAGCAGCCCTGCCATGGCAGAGGGGGCGGAAGGCTTCGAGCCCTGCGATGCGGTCACGGCGGGTTTATCTTTCTCACGAAGGCGCGGCACGGGACGCTGTCGGGCTTGTGCGCGGCCCGGGATCGGGATCGGGATGAGGAGGAGGGCGTGGGCCGGGCACAGCCTGGTTTCGGCCCGGCTGGTTCCTGCCCAGCCTGTCGCCCCTGCCAGCCGGCCGGGCACGCAGTGTCCCCGGGGACTCGGCACGGGGGAGTCCCGCTCCAGTGCTGCCTCCGGCGCTGCGCCCCTCCGACAAGAAACTGAGGCGTGGAGAAGGGCAGCGAAGCTGGGGAAGGGTCTGGGGTTCTGTGAGGAGTAGCTGAGGGAGCTGGGGCTGGAAGAGAGGCCCAGGGGTCCTTTTCCCTCTCTACCACTCCCTGACAGGAGGGCACAGCCAGATGGGGGTCGGGCTCTTCCCGCAGGCAGCAGCGACAGGACAAGAGGACAGAGGCTCAAGGTGTGGACATCAGGAAGGATTTCTTCACTGAAAGCGTAGTCAGGTATTGGAACGGACTGCCTAGGGAGGTGGTGGGATCACCATCCCTGGAGGTGTTCAAGAAATGACTGGATGTGGCAATTACTGCCATGGTCTGATTGACAGGGTGGTGGTCAGTTAGTTTGGACTTGATGACCTTTTCCAGCCTTAAGAACTCTGAGTTTCTGTCCTGCCTTTGCTCAGCCTTTTCTATGCAAACTCTTTTTCCTACAGATAAATAAGGTTCTCTATAACTCTGGTCACTTTTACTCTGACAGACTGCATCCCTCTTTCCTGCAACCTGAAACAAAAATCTTGATGCTGAATTCAGCTGAGGTCCTTCCAAACCTGGAGAAAGTAAAAGCTTCGTTTCACATCCATGGAGATGAAACGATGTTTGTTTGCTTTCTGACTGGGCTTAGGATCTCCCGAGTCCCTCGACAGGGCAGGTTTAACACGTATGACTTTAGGCATCAATTACACAGTGTAATTGTTTGTTTTTACGCTTCCATTGCCATGAACACCAACCTTAATTTGTTTTTGACCCACTTCAACACCCAGAGCCCTATTTGCAGAGCTATTAAAGCATTGGCAATTCAGAGATACACATTTGTACAGATGGTTATTCCTCCTTAAGTGCTTTTGCCTTAACTGAATTACCTACCGTTTATTTTCTGTAATTTCCTCAGTTTGCCAACATCACTTTAGTTTTTCTGAAGTGTTTGCAGCTCATCCTGCTCTGGCAAAATGTGTGCTGGCCTTGGAGACATTACTGAAAATATTTAGCTCCATGAAGAACTGTGCTTCAAACCTTCTTCCACCAGCACAAGGAAGCCAGCTATAGCTACTCTGAAGTGTGCCTTCTCAACTATGTACAAACCAGAGGCCTCCAACCCTCACATTCCCTGGCTGTCGATGAAAAATAGTTAGAGAGGCAAAGACTTTCTGAAAATAATGACAAACACAGGAGCCTTGTCTCGAGTGCTTCTCACCCATCCACCGAGGCAGTCCCTCCTGGCAGAGTGAAAATGTGATTGATTTGCTGTGATTTCTGCTTAGGGTATTTGCTAATGTGGATTTATGGCCTTTTAATGATACAGCCACTTGCAAGTTAGACAGGTTGTTTTGCTTGCTGGTTTCTGTGCCTCTAGACTGAACTGCACTTGGGAATGTGGGGGTCTGTCAGTCCCTTTAAGTGTAGGGATACTTTTGCCCCTTCCTGTTTCCAAGACGTGCAAAAGAGCTGGAAGAGACATCTAGTCTGTTCCTGCAGAGATTTCATTGCTAAAAAAAGGGAAAAAAAATTAGTGTATTAAATATCCAGGAGTTCTGGTGAGGAGGAGAGGTAGACAGGTTGGGGGTTTTGTGGGTGGGCATTTTTGGGGGTGAGGGTTTTTAGGGTTGGGGTTTTTAGGGGTGGGCGGTTTTGGGAGTAGTGTTTTGGGCGTGGGATCTTTTGAGGGTGGGCACTTTTGAGGATAGGGTTTTGGGGCGGGGCGTTTTGGGGCTGGGGGTTTTTAGGGGGTGGGCGTTTTTAGGGGTGGGGTTTTGGAGGGTAGGATATTGAGGGTGAGGGTTTTAGGGCTGGGGGGTTTAGGGGTCAGGGTTTTGGGATTGGGTGTTTTTTGGGGGTGAGGGTTTTGGGTCTGGAGGTTTTTGGGGTGGGCAGTTTTGGGGGTAGGGTTTTGGGGGTGAGGGTTTTAGGGGTGGGGTTTTTGGGGTGGGCGTTTTTGGGGGTGGGCAGTTTTGGGGCTGGGAGTTCTGGGGGTGGGTGTTTTGGGGGTAGGGTTTTGGGGGTGAGGGTTTTGGGGCTGGGAGTTCTGGGGGTGGGTGTTTTGGGGGTCCCCCGCTGCGGATTGTTATCCCGGCGCGTCCCTGCGGGCGGCGCTCCTGCTCCACGGCACGGGCAGCGCTCCCCTGCGCCCCGGCTCGGGGGCTCCGGGCACGGGGGACGCGGGTGGGGATGTTGGGTCTGGCCGGAGGGAGGGAAAGGAACGCGTTGTTCTGCTCCCAAGGGGACTCTGGGGGAGTCCGCCCTTGGAGAGGTGTCCCTAAAGTGTGCGTGTGCTTTGCCCCTGCGGGCTGTCAGCGCTGCCGGGTTTATTTTTCCAAGGACGGCTGTCCAACAGGATGGAGCGCTTATTTTTAAACCGGCACGGGGGGACTTTGGCAGCAGCCGGGCACAGGCTGAGCCTGGCAGGAGCAGTGGGGACCGACCGCGGCAGGGCTGCCAAGCCCCGCGCTGTGCAGAGCCTGCAGTGGCTGCTGAGCCCCAGCCTTCCCGGCGGGCTTTAGCCCATCATCCCTGTGCTGAATGCTCGTTGTGCCTTTTTCCCTTCAAGCGCTGGGAATATTTCCGTGTCTGTTTGGAGCTTCCCATTCCGCATGCTGTACATGGATGGACCTCGTGATTTCTTCTGCAGGCACATCTGGCAGCAGCCGTACCCCAAATACCCCTAGGGATCTTCTGTCTGCCCTTCTCACACCACCCACAGGAGACTCCCTCTTCTTCCCCTGTCCACGCCGTACTTGGATGTCTCCCACCCCCTTTCAGAGCTCACTATAAAGACAAGCAAAACAGGCAGCTGCCCACAGCCTTCTCCCGTGGGTCACTGTGTAAACTTTGCAGCTCTGCTTTCCCTGGACTCACAGCCCTGTCATCACTCCCCTCTTCCTGACCTTCTCACATGCCCCTCGAATGCACCCATACCTTCCATCTCTTTCCTTACTGCAGAGGCTGTAATGGCCTGAACCAGCCCTCCCCCCACAGTTTATCTCTCCTCTTCCCATGCTGCAGCCTGCTCATGGAATGATGGACAAGCTAAAGGTTGAGAAAATAAAGTAAAATGCCTTTCTCATCCTGTAATGACCAAGGGGGAGGACGCAACCTGATAAAAATGACAAACCAGGAGAACTGAGAGCCAGACCCTTCACCTGCCTGTCCCTCAGTGTACAGAAAACCTGTGCACAGACCTGCTGTGATTGCAACTGCTGCAAACCTGGAAAGAAAGGAATTAACGACTGAGCCAATTAGAGCTACAGGTTTCTGAGCAAAGAAATGTCCTTCTGCTACCTGTGAAGAGGCTAATTCAGAGATTCAGATAGGAAGAAAACCTGAAGCAGGCCGATCATTTGGAGCTGGTGGAAGACGCATCTGCAGGCCTGTGTTTTATGGCCAGAGGGCTTTGCTTAGCATCTGGCACCTGCATAGTCCCACTGCAGTGATGGAGGCTTCACATGACAGATAGATCCAGCTGCTTGCTTGGGCCTATCTCTGTTTTCAACCACTTACTTTGCTCCTCTGTTTTATTGGCATGATTTTTGACAGCAACCACTAGTGCTGGATCAGCCATTTCCTGGCAGTGAGTGACCAGGAGGCAAACATTTCATCCTCTAAATTGCCCCAAAAGCAGTCTAGGATGCTCTGCAGCAAACACTTGTGCTGCAAAAAAAGCTCCATCCATTTCCCATTTAAACAAATTGAACCTGAAGAGGCCACAGGGAGTGACAGATGGGGAGGATAACAGCCATAAGGCTTTAGGTATTGCTATGGCTGCTTGAAGTAACTGTAATAGGAGCTTCCATGAATTTTCTACTCTCCTTCCTTGTTCCTGAGCCTTGATGGAGACTGAAGCAGGCTCTTTTTGCCTCTTTATATTTTCTCTACTCAGCCTCCCACCACCCTTGTGGCTGCCTCCTCCTCTTTCATCTCAGATATGGAAGCTCTCTCAAGCTGGCACTTTCTTCCCATGCCCACCAGCAGTACTTTGGACAAAGAGCCTCACGTTGTACCCTGTAGTCACCTGATGCTCCACAAGCAATTATTTGAAAAGAATTCACATTCTTTGAAAAGAATGGGCTGATCATTTAGTCTTCTCCTCACTTCCCTCTATTTCCTTCCTAAAATCATGCTAAAAGGAGGTTAAATGACCTTCAGTCATTCTTTTACTTTCCCATGCTGTAAGCACCACAGGGACGGTACAAAACTGTAGTGGGAGGAGAGGCAGCACAAGCAAATCCTGTCTGTCAGGTGGTCTCTGTATCAAAACACAACCATGAGCTGGATGCAGCTACTGTGGGGCTTGGGGAAGGGGGAACAGGGGACCTGTGTAGTGTCTTGGCCAGGACTGAGGCTTAACACTGTGTTAGCTCTACAGATCAAGTTGCCCTTTGCACAGAATGCTGAGAATGCATTTCAGGCTCCCTGATCATTCCAGGCTGAGTGATGTGAGACATCCCCCTCCACGGCATGTTCCAGATTAAAACCTCCCATCAAATCCAGGTATACCCTGTTCTTTTTAACAGGGAACCAAAAAAAAAAAAAAAAAAAAAAAAAAAAAAAAAAAAAAAAAAAAAAAAAAAAAGAAAAATTACCCCCACAATTAAGACAGGTTTGAAAATTTAATTATAGACTATGTCCTGAAACAGACAAGCAAGACAGCATTATATGTAATGTATTTGCCAACAAATGTGAGCAGGGAGCCAAGGTACTGGGCAAAAGGGAGTAGACTGGCAGCAAAACTTTTGGAATAGTGCTGCTAAAAGGCGAGTCTCAGTGAAGCCCTGCAGCCAAATTTACACAAAGCTTGAATGGAGCTGAATGAATTGATCTTTTATAACTGCTGTTGTCCAGCCTAAATTCCTCTTTTTTTGCACACCTGGAGTTAGACAGGCAAGGATGCAGCCTGGGCTTCTCAATCTGCACCTTTCTCCCAATTAAGACATACTGTAAGGAAGAGCGGATTCCCAGCAGTAAGGCAGGCTGACCCTCCCTCTGCCACACTCACATTTTTGAGGGCTGCATCAAACCTGTGCCATTTTAAACCCCTGTGATTTTTACAGAAACCTGATTCTGCTGTAATCCTGAACAACATCACACACTGGTGGCTCCAGGCACTTGGCCCCATCACAGCACAGTTGTGAAGAAGGTAAATGACCATGTGCACAACAGAACCACTTGGACACAGCAGGTAAACTGGTTCCAGCAAGCATTTGGCAAATGGAAGATCTAGCCCTGCAACTACTGCAGGTAATGAGGAGAAAGGAGGACTACAGGTAATTGAAAATTGGTTCAGGATCTCAAGAGACCACGTGCAAGAAGAGCTGAAAGCTTTCTGCTGTGGCAGAAAAGGGGAATGGGCCAACCTGTGTGTTGAGGAGTTCAGCTCCTCCCACAATGGTTCTGTAATGATTAACTTCACCTTGGCAGCAAAGAGGCTTATTTAAGGAAGAATCAACTCATGGCAAATAAAGATCTTCATCCATCCACATATAGCAAAGCTGAAAGATCAGGTTGCTGAGAGGGACAGGGCTTTGTGTTGCTGGTCAGCAGCTATTCTGCGCATTTGCTGTGGTTCTCCTCAGCAGCATTACAAGTAAAGCACTTCCAAAACCAGCATTTATAACCTGGCCAGGACCAAAGCCTACCCTGGGACTTTAGTCTGAGCTCTGTATGCAACACCCATGCAGGAGGAGGGACGGTGGCTCTGCTCTGGCTACTCCTCCAATATAAAATTCCTTCCCAGGACCAAATCTGTATCAAGGCCCAGGAGAGGTCAGTCTGCAAAAAAAGCATCAGGATGCTTCAGAGGAAGATGCTGGGGGTGTGGGCAGAGAGAGCTGGAGTAGAGGTAGCTGTGGCTGAAAAGGCCTGGGGGTGTAGGGCACTTAGGCCACCCTATTTAGTGAGGGGTGTGACTGGGTTCTCACTTTTTCATTTCTGTGGTTTGTGTTGCTGCCTTCTGCAATGCACACACCTGCAGTTTGTTGTGATTTTATTTGTGTTCTGTGATGGGGATTTGTAATGTGTGTGATTTGGTTGGTTTTTATTTTCTCTGGGATAGCCAGAGATGAAGTTGCAGCCTGTGAACTGTGGGCAATTTAACACAGGGCACACGGGCTGTGCAGCTTGATCCACTTCTGTAGTGTGTTTACCTCCTGCTAAGGTGTTCCAGCCAAGGTCAGTGGAAATAAACACTATGGCCAAGCTGCTTGAGACAATTAGCAGAAAGCATAAAGAGAGCCAATTGGCCCAGGCTGGTCAGATTAGGAAACAAAAGCCTTTGCAAGTCTGTGGTTCAGAGGAGGGAGATGTCTTTCAGTAGGAACTTTTGTCAATTCTCCCTTGACTGATGCAAACCAGCATGATTGTACTGAAGTCAGGGAAAGATGCTCTTTGATCCTGGCAGCATGCTTGGCATGTGTGAGCTGAAAGATTTTTCTGAATTTATCTAGCAATCTGCTTCAGAATTCTTTTTTCTGTTTTTTGTTTGTTTGTTTTGGTTTGTTTTGGGCTTTTTTTTTAGTCTCCCTGCAACTAGTTCTCCATCTGATATTTTGATGATGTTAAAACAGGGAATTAGCTTGGAAACCACAGAGGTCAAAATGAGCCCTGTGCATATCCACAGCAGTTCTCTACCAAGGTGAAAATCTCTCTGACAGGCTGAATAAAGCCACATTTGCACGATGAGTTCAGCAACAATGGCTGGTAGTAGAGCTCCCTGAAACCAAAAGGTGTTTCCTATAAATGTCTGTGTTAACACAGCCTTGTGCAGGGGGATAGTTTTAATCAAGCTGGGTCTGGGAAGCCAGGATATTTTTGACTTAACCTGAAGTGTGTTTTGCCTTCCTTTTGACCAGAGGACAGGAGAAGACTTTATAGTAAGAAAACTGCTGGCAACTGAGACACCTCTCTTCTGGCTTTATGTTCACTGTGCAACCAGGCTTAAATGTTCTGGGAGCAAGTTCCACCAGCTTGTTTCCAGCCATGGAGGTCCTGAAATAGCAGATATCAGACCTATGACTGGTTCTTCGACCTAGCAGTACTATTTTGGCAGCAGGCCCAGGGTTAAACATAACAAGAGTCATTTTCAGTCCCTGCTCTCTTGAAGGTCAGTGGCCCAAATGGTTGGATGTTTGTCTTAGCTGTTTCCGGACAAGGTCTGCATTTTGTAATGATTAGGCAAAATTTAGAGATCTTCATGTTGGCAATCTGCTGCTGACTCTAATTGGAAAGCATGTTTTTCCTGAATAAGGATGTCAGGATTTGGTCACTGGCAATTTTAAATTGTTTTGACTCTTTTGAGCAGGGTGATTTCTTGTGGTTGCTCTAAAGGCTCACTGCTCTCTTTTACCTCCACGCCACGAGTTTCACAGGATAGTGCAGCTCCTTCTTAGCTTTAAGCCCATTAAGCCTGGCTTAGCAGAGTTGCCCGCTGCCAGGTGAGACTTTGACGTCCATTCATCTGCTCAGGTCACACGGAAGAAGCAGTCTCCCTCTTAGCAATCAGTCTGGCTCATTCTAGCTTGCCAAATACCTTCTGAGATGAGCCCTGTCCTCTCTACAGCTCCCTTAGAAAGCTATCAGAGAGGTCAGCCACAAATTGGTCCCATTTTTTCTGCCAGAGCTCTTTGGCCTTGGCTTTCTCATCCGGTAGCATGGCACTGTATCTGTGAGGAGGAGGAAAGTCAGTGTCAGGCAGGAGACAAGGGGGCAGCTATTTCAAGAGCAGCACTGAAATGAAAAGGCAGGAGGCAGCAAGAGATTAACCCTTGCAGGACATGCCTGCACCACACAGAGTAACATGGTATTTAACAGGCAGAAGCCGGGAAATGTGCAGGAAGACCCTGGGTATCACATCCAAACTATTTTTTTGACATTCAGAACTGTCCAGTTAATAGAAAAAGGGGTTAAACACACAGAAACAAAATGCTAATCGTTTTCCTGTCTTTCCCAGGTGAGTCATGGCAAACACTGCAGCAAGTCAAATTTTGGCAGAAATAGACAAATGATACAAACAATTTCTCCCAAACCTAGAACCAGGTGGTGGAGGCAAGTTCACAAAGAATGGACAAGGAGCAATACACTGGGGCATAGACTCAGAGAGAGGCACTTGAGAACACAGGCAGAGGAGCCTCTGGGCTCCCTGTGTCCTGCCTTTGGACAAGACACACAGAGGAGATTCTGGACTGACAGAAGCCCAGCTCATGTGACAGAGGAGACTCTGGGGCCAAAACCCAAATGCAAGCAAGGAGGGAAAGCTGATAGTCTCCTTATGATTTCTATGACAAGGTGAGAGAGGTGATGAACTTACTTTATGGAGTTGAGTGCAAGCTGTTTTAGGGTCCTCAGGTCAGCATTCATCCCCCCGATGGCCATGAACACCTCATAGAAGTCATAAGAGACCCCCTTTGCCCCAAAGATGGGGGGATCATCGGGGCTGATCACAATGGGGTGCCCTTCAGCCATGAGGTCAGCTGCAGGGTGGCTCCTCAAGTCAGCTACCAGCAGCAGGACCTGGGAGACAACACCACGCCAGGTTATTGCTGCAGCTGTGTCACACTGACACCTGCCAGGGCTGCCTGTGACAGCAGGTAGTGGTCAGGGAGGGATAGGCTCCAAAGGACGGTTCAGAATGTTTTCTGCTCTGAACTGCTGCAGGAGGAAGTAGCTTGTCTCCACTGACTGTACAAGGAGATTGATTTCTTAAATAAACCACCTTAATCAAGTCCAGTGGGGTGAATAACTTGTGCTTATTTAGAACAATTTGACTGTGAGCAATTCAGGAACAGTCTTTTGGTTACACATTTGCTGTGGTGCTTAGCTTGAGGTATCTGGAGCTGGTGTGTGGAGCTGGAGCCTTAAGGCTGACACCAGTAAATCTGCACCCAAAGTGTCCTTTCTGCTGCACCCAGGGGACAATGGTACCATGCTGATGTGCTGCAAAAGAGTTCCCACTGGTTATGAATTCTGCAAAACCAAGGACTTCCAGTCACAATCCTGGCTTGTCAGCCTGTGGCCCTCCTGGCTTTGAAGTATTTTCAATTATGTCTCTTAAGGCACCTCTGTGTCTCTAGGCCTCATCTTCACTAGGGAGGACTGCCTTCCAGAGTTCCTCTGGACAGGAATTTAAATTATTTTTTTGCTGACTGGCATTATGTATATTCACGGTGTATGTCTACGTAGCAAACTGCAGTGTAAGGTGCTGCAAAGGAAACTAAGCCAGCCTGTGTGCATCAAAACTTGTAGGTGCCCCCCAGCTGACCCTCACAGCAATGGTAAACCCCTTTACAGTGACTCAGCCACATAACAACATACCTGGTTGGAGATGGGACAGACTTCTACAGGAATATCCCTCTTCAGAGACAGATTTTTGGCTACTGGGTGTTTAATGAGAGCAAGTCCATGGCCAATCCTGCTGGTATTCAGTAGCAATGCATCCAACACATTATTATCTACAGAGGTGCCCTGCCAGTCTGAGCAGAGACAGGTAAGAGTCACTGAAGTGCTGCGAGGAAATAAACTTCTCAAACTGCTAGATGATTTTGTTAATAGACGTTCCAGTTTGTGGGGTGAGAGGGTTGCTCAGAGTTTCCACTTGCATTTTCAGTGAAACAGGGATCTAAATCTGCTCAGGATATTACCCAGCATGCAGATACCCACTCATCTCACCTGGCTTTAGATGTTTCAGTATTGCTCTTGCAGCTGAGTTAATTATGCTGGACTCCATTACTTGTCAATGGAGAGAAGTAACAATTACTGGGGAGTAGCCTGTGCATTAGAACGAGATGTATTGTGGCTTAGAAGTGCTCGCTCCTGCCTGTGGCTATAAAGGGAGCCCAGGGTAACCACACTTGTTCTGTTGATGTCAACATGCAACACACAAGGCACACGGCTCTCCTGGTTAGGATAAATCCCACCAATGCAGACTGAATAATATACTGCCAATAATAATACATTGGCCCATGAATGAAGGGTACATCAGTTACTTTGATAAGTCTGTTCAGTTAAGAGTCAAGTCTGGCTCAAATATTATTTCACCTTTAAATGTAAAATGATGGTTGGGGGACTCTGTTGCTGTTGTGGATGGGAACAGGATGCTGTTCCAAGGGGGAAATAGCTACCAGCAACAACTCCTACACGTGACTCCTTGTCACACCAGGTCAAAGACACTGAGCAATGTGACACCTACAGTCAAAAACAGGGAGGGGTCATGTAGGAATGCCACAGCCCCAAACTGATACGAGGAGAAGCATAGGGAAAACACATAGGGTTATGTGCATGTGTATGCACACACATCCTCTTGATACAGCCAGCAAGCAAGCCAGGCCTGCTGCTTCTGCTCTTTGCAAGATTTCAGTCTTGCCTCTGAAAGCAATAACAAGCCTTGAGTCCTCATGCTCACCAGTCTCCCCAGCATGGAAGAAGTATGGCAAGTTGACCCCCATGGAATATGGGATGGTCAGGGCATCCTTCAGGTCCCATAAAGAATGACCTTCATCCTCATCACCAACCTGGGGGAAGGCAGAAAGGTATTTTTAAGCACACTAGGGAAGATGGTGGGACTAACAGCTCTATATAAATGAGGTGCCAGCTGTGCTGAAATTACAATGCTGTGGGGTAGGAGCTGATTTTTTCAGGGGATTTTGCCAATTACCCTGAACAAAATCCTTAGCAGGAGGATTTGCAATTCATTAACACTGATTTCAGGACAGCAGCGGAGGTTCTGGCTCTGGTATACAACATATGCTACAGTATATATGTGGTTATATCACCAGGGGTTAATGTGAAGCCCCAGAAGAAATACAGTTACCAGGTCGAAGCCTGCCAGGGTGTCTGGGAAATGGGCTCTGAGTGCCATGGCAGTGACGATGGCTTCTTTAATCTGGGAAACATTCAGCATCCTAGAGAGCAAGAGAGAGAAAGTGCTGCAGAAGCTGACTCCCATGGGCCTGCCTTCTCAGGGTTTGAGTTGTGAAATGGGGTCCCCAGAGGTATTTCCAAAATGCAAGTTGCTCTTGAATCTGACAACCAGCTTCAGGTCTCTAGAGGAACAGCAGTATAAAATTGATATTATGAAACAAAACCCATGAATGACCAGGAAATGCCTGGCTAGACCCTGTTGTCACTTGTGTTGAGGCATGCTTGTCTGACTCACTGGATTTCCTATTTACCAAACAGGGAAGGGAACACAACAGTGTGGAGAGAAAATGTTAAATTTTTTTTCTTTCCTCCCGGCTGTTTGGTTGGGAAATGAGGCAGTAACTGCATTTCAAGAGAGTTTTACATTTAGGTTTCTTCTTGCCCTATCAGACTTAAATTTCTCAGTGCATTTTACAGACTGTGTCCATACTCAAGCTGTTCAGAGAGGCAAGAAACTGGAGAGGGCGTGGTGCCAAACCAGAGCGAGCAAGCGCTGCTGAGAGGTCTGCTCTGCTTGCTGAGGATCACCTCACATGACTTCATGGAATTTGGCTGCCTTGGAGAGCAGCCTTGTGCCTGCCTGCCCGGGCAGCAGCACGAACATACCGTACACAGGCTGTGTGCCGGGTCCCATGGGGATCTCTGCCACACTGAGCTCCCATCCTCAGGCACTGCCATCACTGCTTCAGTGTGTGCAGGGCAGGGCAGTGCACCCAGGCTTGGGAGGAGAGCAGGCACGGCTTGGACATGCACACAGGCAGCCCTGTCCGGGCTCATTCCCGCTCCCAGGGCTCACGGACACTCCTCTGGCTCATTTCACACGTAGGCAGACCCACAGAGATGGGTTCTCACCCTCAGCCTTTCACACAAGACAGGGAATGTCTCCAGAGTCAACGCCCCGGCTCTAACAACGCACGTGGACATCGCCAGCCAACTTTGGCACTCCAGCCCAGCGTTGCCTCTCCCAGCCCTCTGCCCACCTCCGACACAGCACAGCTGCTCTTCGCCCTGCTCTGTCTTTACCTGTGCGCTGTAAATATAATCTTGGCTCCAACAAAGTCTGGGTGTTCCTTCACAAACTGCCTGCTCACTTCCCGGTAGGTTGCCACAGACCACGATTTACTGTGCTTGGTGCCATCCAGTTCATACACCTGCAGCGTGAAAAGGACGTGACAAGCAGTAGTTAGAAGAGGTGTTTTACTGGAAGGTGAGAGAAATGAAGTGACAAAAACCTTGGGAGAAGCAGAATGCCACGATCCTGAGAACAGGGCAGGAAAACAAAAGCAGTGAAATCTGTGTAGAACATTTCCTTCTTCAAGCCTTTACCATCTGGCAAGAACCAAGGAGTGGGTTTCCCCCTCCTATGTAATACGAGTTTCTCTGTGTTCAGACGTGGCAAGCAAACGCCCTTGAGAGCCCTGAGGAGACCGTGACCTCTTACTCCTGTCTGCATCCAACACTGCAGTGTTTTGTCCAGCTGTCTGCAGCTCATACATGCTCTGTGCCTTGCAGTGGCAATCTGTCAGCTGAGGCAGCCCCAAGGCACGCGATGGCTGAGCTCCATAAGCTACCAGCTGAGCTGGGCTCCTGTTCCCCTCTGCCAGAGGTTTGCTTCATGACCTTGAGTCAGTCATTTAGTCTTGCCATGTTTTCCCAGGTCTCTGGCTGCAAACTGGGAAAAATAATCCTTCTGGCATGCTCTGTCTCATCAACTTGCACTGGAGGTTCCTCTCTACCAGGGCTGTTCTCTGGGCTTCTGCCTTGATTTCAGCAGGGGTGGAGACCCTGAATTGATACTAACCCACAAAGGCCCTGCCTGCAGTTGCTCACAGACAGCAGCTGAAACCACTCCATCAGTTCTCCTCTCACCCTTCTCACCATTCTTTTCTCTGTCACCTTTCTCCTCCAGCTTCAACTGCTCCACTTCACCCCCTAACTTCCTCTCTGGTGCTGTCCATTACAGGGATGTCCCTCGCAAAGCCCCACACCCTGTCACAATGTGATGCCCCCCTTGCAGGCACCAGCAGCCGTGGGGCAGCTGCAGATGCTCAGAGGGAATTTTCCCCAGCTGCAGCCCATGGGAATGTGAGACTTTACACAGCTGAATCTGCAAACACAGCTGGACTTAGGGGGCTTTTCCACAGTGTTTGCTGTTTCACACTAAATCCCAGTTTCATTTACTTTACCTCAGGGGCCGCTTCTGGCAGGCTTTGCTGCAAGGAGAGCTTTTGCAGCCTCAGCGTTGCTGTCCAAGCCTTGTGGAGGATCTCCAGCCACACAAGCATCTTGCTATTCCCGTCACACCCTGCTCACCTTGACTTTCCCCATGAAGAATTTCCCTGCCCTCTCACCCCAGCTTCAGCCTGACTGTCCCTTCACTGCTCATGCTGCTCTCTATCCCAGCATGGCCACGGCTCCTGGCATTCCCTGCTGTGGTACTTCAGGCAGCCTGCCTGGAGCTCACAGCAATGGAGTTCACAGTGCTGGAGCTCACAGCACTGCAGCTCACAGCGCTGCAGCTCACAGCAATGGAGCTCACAGCACTGCAGCTCACAGCGCTGCAGCTCACAGCAATGGAGCTCACAGCGCTGCAGCTCACAGCACGTCAGCTGCTGGCTGTGGACGAGCCCCAGGGCTCTGCAGGCTCCCACGGCTGCCGCCAGCACCAGGAGCTGCATGGGAAGAAAATCTTGCCTGCCAAGACTCTCTTCAAAAGCACTTACAACCATGTCTAAGGGCTGATGGCAAAGGCAGGGTATTTTCCAGGCAGGCCCACACGCTTGTATCAAGGCAGATACTCTTGGCCTGGAAACCTGTGCAGCCTGAGGGGACGCCAGCGCTTGCGCTGCCTCACAGCACAGGCATTTTGACTTTACTGCTATTTTCTCTTTCCAGGTACCCCAAAAACAGGTGGTGGCTGAATTCAGAGCAACTGGCTCATGGCAACCCCCAGCAAAGTAAGACTCATGTAAACTTTGTGGACTTCTCCACGTCCTTTCCCCCCCCCCGCCTTTGCAAAACATCTTTCTCCTCTCAGGCACAATAGACTGATAGAACTGCCACCCCCACAGAGTCCTGCATGGGGCTTGGCTGGAGAATTGCATGGGAAAGGTGTGTCTGCAGTGACAAAATTGTCACTGGGGAAGAGGGAACACTTAGGGTGGTGTGGTCTGCTGGTGCTTGAGGAGGCATTAGGGCAGAGTGGGTTTGTAGGACAGCCTGACCAGCTCTGGGTGACACGCAGGGAGAAAGGCCTGAACCATTACCAGATTTTGGTGTTAATAGCAATGAAAGGAGCAGTTCATACTTCATACACACAGCCAAAATTTTAGGTTGTCTGCAGATCATGGGAGGTCATTTTTTGCTAATTGATTGACTCACCTATTCAGAGTAATCATTCTGAAATAAGCAGAGGATTTAAAATAATGTACCTATTCCAGAATAAGTCCCTATCCAAGACAGGACATTTGTTCAGAGTAGCTGCCAAAGAACAGGTGATTCTGGTGCAGACAAAAGTGAGCTACATCTTCCCGAGGAGCAAGATTTTGACCCAGCTCCCAGTCTAACTGTACAATGTAGTTTTGTGCCTATGTCACAGCAGGTATCTCCCTCAGCCATGAAGAACAAAGAATCTCTCAAGCCCTTGCCTATGCAAATCTCCAAGAAAGATGTTTGAATATGATCAAAGTTTTCCAGCATCCGTAGAAGGGCAGGTATGCAAACATCCAGAAACTAAATTCAAGATAGGGCTTGAGAAAAGTTATGGAGAAATAAGGATTTAAAAGATTAATAGAGAAGCCAAACCCCACGTACCGCAGGCAGGATAGCTCTTATCTCAACATACTGTATGTTATCTTCATAGAGCTCCAGCAGCCCCTGGTAGAAATAGGCCTTGAACACAGGTGCATAGCAGATAAGTCCAGAGGCAATGAGAAAGATTTCTTCAAATCTTTTCCATATGAAAGTCTGAGAAGGATAGGCCAGCTCAGGGGCATCTGTCACCAGGGTCAGGTTTCTCAGCAAGCTACAGAAAAGGGAGAAGAGAAGGAATGAGGAGAACAAACAGAGCCTGTTGGCACTGCAGCACAACAACGACTGGTGCAACTAGGAAGCATTCAGGTCAATTTTCTGCCACCTGTATTTACTCCTCTAATGGCTGGCACAGAATTTTAATGATACATGTTGAACTGTAAGCAGGGTTAGGAGTAGGTGTTTAAAACCTGCCCTGTCCCTTTTTCAAGGAACAGAGTTACAAAAGCAAGTACAGAGCTTTTATATCAATTATACTCTGCTACCCAGGGTATCCCTAATCTGAAAATCTTTTATATCAATTATACTCTGCTGCTCAGGGTATCCCTAATCTGAAAGTAGGCATGCACATTACTCCTGCAGACAATAAGTTTTCCAGAGAAATTTCAATGCACGTCACAACACTTGGCTCTTTGTTTAGCACCTAAAAGGCAGACTGAGTTTACAGGAGATGCCATGTACTGTACCACCACCAACCTGCTTGCTGAGCCCATAAGTTGTCCTGGTATATTTTGACCTTTGTATTGTCAAAATATGCCATCAAAAAAAATACAAGGGGAAGACAGTTCTGAATCAGAAATCATTTTTCCCAGCCACTGAGAACAAACCTGATGCCCCACCTGCCTTGCTGATAGCTACTTCAGGGAAAAAGCTGATAAGAATCTCAGTCCTGGCTTTTCCTTAGTGTGATGGAAATGTATTTATTGTCTCCATACACTCAGCTGGCATATAAGCCTCTTTCAGAAATCCAGAGAGACAGTGGGTAGTTTTATCAAGCAGACTTTAAAGGAGCCAGTAAATTGCAAGAATATCTAATTGTGGGTGACAGCTTGCATTTAGGACAGGTGAGCATCTGTGCCACACCACCATCCTCTGTCAAGTTGATAGCCTTCATCCCATCTGAAGCCCTGCCCCTGGCATGAGCCTTCCTTCTTTCACCTGAAGAGTAGTTCATAATGAATTTCTCCTACCAGTGGGCAAATTTGAAATGGCAATGCAGGGGTGCTTAACTTCATTCCTGGGTGGACAAATGGAAGCCATCACAGAAACCTACAGATGTTTTCTTGCTGGCCCAATTCTTATCTCATGTCAGGGGCTAAGCAGGTTCAGACAGAAATACCTTCAGTCATGCTTCAGCTTTTATCTGGGTATATTGTTTCCCCTCAATAAGAGCTACTGATCTTTAATAATGTTTCCTGTTTGATGTCTTGGCCCCCATCCTTGCGCAGTGCTCTGCTCTGTTATATGGGAGGTGTGGCTTTGATTTGTGATCTTATTATATTTTTCCAGGACACTTCTGTGGATGGAATTAAACCCCCACAGCCCCCCTACAGATGTAAAATGTGATCTGGTCCAAATTCATAAACTAAGACATCCTGGACAGATATGCCTTTTGAATCCCTCCATCCTGCCCATAAAACAGAGCCTATTCCTCCAGGATTTGCCTGCTGTTTCACTCTCTAAGGATTCTCTTCCAGGGCCTGCAGTTTCATTTCTTCTTCACTCTGTTAATTTCTTTGCCAGGAACAATTTTAGAAGCAAGCCTGTACATAAAAGAGATGCTACTGCTGTTAAGGATGAGACTTTAAGTGCTCAACAGTCAGGAAAATTCAGAGTTAAGGTTTCCACAGCAACTTGGGCTCTGCCCTCCCATGCATTACAATTGGAGCTTTGGTGCCATTATGGCAGGACACTGGGCAACCCCAGCTACTGTTCAGTAATCCATGCGACCAGAGAATAGCGAGCTGGACCACGGACGGGGCAGGCAGCAGCCGGAGCCACCACGGCATCACCCCAGAAACCAGGAATGCAGGAGCCGGGAGCACCCCGAAGCTGTGGAGGGGGGCAGCCGCCGGCAGAAAGGGTGTGCTGCTGCTCATCGGGGAGATTTCGTGTGGGAAGAGCTGGGGCAAGGAGAATTTCCCCCTTCCCTCGTGGCCGAAGGGCAGCTCCCCTCCAGCTCGGCACCTGCCCGGAGCCGGGAGCCGAGCGGGGCTGTTCCCGCGGGCGCTGCGAGCGCCCAGGGAAAAACCTCCCCGTGGATCAAAAGGCGGTGCAAGCCCGTTCTCGCCACTCCAGGCAGCTCCCTGTCAGATAAGGATGGGTGCTTAGTCGGGCTCCCACCGCTTTCTCCCCTTGTCCTGTGAGAACTCGGCTCCTCCAGCAATGCTCTGCTCCCTGCCTTTAAATCTGGCTGTACAAACCCGCAGTTGTTTGCTTAGCCTGTGCTCTTGGGCTAGAAACAGTAATAAATCCCCACACCACCCTGCCCCTAAAAGCACATAAATCAAATTGTACTTCTCTTTATAATCCCCTTCCCTTTGAGACTGATTATTGATCCTTACAACTGTTGAAGATTTATTGCATAATAGTGATCCATCCTTGATAACCAGATAATATCCTAAGGGTTCAGGGGCTTTTGCCATCAGTAGCTCATGCAGATGAAGCAAAGCTTCATAAATACATTCTTTTTTTTGCTACTTTTCTGGAATGGGCCTTCACCAGTGATCAGGTGCAGACTACAAACAGCCTTCCATGTCATGTCATGTATTCACTGAACAATTCTATTGCAATGTATATGCCCAAAGGGGCACAGCTAAAATGACCAGCCAAGGATTATTTATTTTCAGATGTGGGTTTGCTTTCTCTTTTGCTGGGTTTTTTCCCCATTTTCCTTCCCTGTGCTATATAATACAGAAGTGAAAGGTTTTGTTGCCTTGTTTTTAAAGGGATTCTTTTTCCTGCTCCTTTTTTCTGTTCTTGATGGGTAATTATGCCCCTCTCCTCACCATAGTATCTAAATGTCTTCCAGTGGTGCATTAAATAGTGTGACTAACATCTGTCACATGTGCTTCATTCGCTTTCTCTTGCTCTCTCTCATCCCCTCTTCTCCCCAAGGGGAGACTTGTAGAGGGAGTGGAGTGCTTTGTTTCTGCAGTGGATTTTTATTCCTTTTTTCCCCCCTCTTACTGCACACACTGCCCTATTTTTCTGTGAGATAAGGCAGTCAAAAAACAGAGGGGAAGGTGATGGCAGCTCGGGCAGCCACCAGTGCCCAGGGGAGTTGTCCCTGAAGCCTCCGTGGTGTCAGCTCCCTCACAGATGACTTCATCCTGGTGATAGAGAGCTCTGATGGGCATGGCCTCAGTCCTTGTGCTGCTGGTGGGGGGTGTGCAGTGGTATTTTACAAATATCTGGAATGTCAATGCTGCTTCCCTAAATATCTGGGGGCATGCTCTTGCTTTGGAGATGTCAGCCATTATGTTGCTTCTTGAGGGAAAGAATGACGTTCTCCTGTATTGTAATTGATTGTGATGAAAATAAGTGAGGATTGTTTTTCCTTTTAAAAAGCAAAATTCCCTTCCTTTCGCTGTCCCTTGGCCCATGGTCTCCTGGCCCTCCTAACAGCATCCTTTTGGAAGCTCATCAGTAATACAATACTCTGGGGTCTTGGCCCATGAGATGTGTGTTTTGAATAGGAATGATTAGACTTTCTCTTGAGGGAAACAAACAAAAGGAGTCCCTTCCAAAGCACACGCATGTGTGCGTATATGTACCTAAAAATGCAAACAGCAAAAAAAATCTTGTAGATTCCCCTTTCTTCCACCCCTTCCTGGTCAGAAATGCTGTAAGGTGAAAGAGGTGCAGCTTCTCAGAAACATTTCCATTGTTCCTTCACATTTGCTGATCCACCCTGTCTTGCATGAGAGCCCTTCCCTGCTGCCATATTCCCTTGACACTTCCTTGAAACCACCCAACTATCCATCCGTTCTTTCCTCTGACATCTGCTTTCTCTCAGCTTGTCAGTGCTCAAGGGCAAAGAGGAGTGCAGGAGAGAGGTAGCCTGGGATGCACATGTTCAAGAGACTGGGAGAGTTTCCAGAAACTGAGAAGCAGAACAGATTGGGGCCTATTCCTGGCTAGAGACCTATTTCCAGACGGCCAAAAACATTCCTAACCCCTAGACTAGTGCCCAGGGATTAGATGAGAATAGGAGGGGAAGTGCCTCAGTGTGACTGTTGTTAGTGTGCTTGCACATTATGCGTAATGACTCCTCTGTGATTTTGTGGTGATGAGCACAGAAGGGCAAGAAATGAAGGACAACTTACTCAAATGGATAAGTGAGCACCCAGGATGCCAGAGATCCAAGTATGTTCTTGGCTCAGGCTCATGTTTGCTGAGGAAAATCACTTCATTGGCCTTTGCCTCAGTTTCCTGTCCACATTTGGGGAGACCCTTGCAGTGAGGCTCTGTGCAGTGCCTGCCGCTCTGAAGTCCTGCTCTGACTTGTGGACACTAAACACTGTCAGGCAAATACAAAAGAGGAGGAATGTGGCAATACTGCCTCTGGAAACAAGTGTTTCCACACAGGAGCAGAGGCAGCCATACAATACACAGCCCCAGTCACCCAGGTGTACAGGGTATACAGGATGCCCTGCCCTTCAGCCTCTGCCAGTAAGTGGCATCATGCCATGGAAACGCAACTTAAAACAAGTGCAATGAATGGTTGCTCCTGAGACACTTCTAAATGCCCAGTGCGGTTGCTTGTTCTTTAAGGAAGTGAAGCTGTTTCAAAATCCAATCTCTTGCACATTATTTATGGGTCTCCTGGTGTGGTTGAAGAGAGGTGGTGCTGTCATCTTTCCTTCCTAATCACTCCCAGCAAAATGGAAGGGAGCTAATGGGGAACCAGTTTTCTCTCTGGAAGACAGAGATCAGTGACTTCTCACTGGATCTTATTTCATCCATGACGTCTCAGGGCAGTTGAGCCACAGGATATAAAAGGTCAAGAGCCCAGAGTCTGGCACTTTCTCCTTCCCTTCTGGACTTCCATAAGAGAGGGATGGTGGATGCCCTGGAGAGTCATACCCCTGTGCCTTTCCCATTACTGGTTTTGGGGATGGAAGGGCAATGCCACAAGCTCCTGAGCTTCCCAACCTGACCTTCCCAGAACCGCAGGGCACAGAGCCCAGACAGGTTCCATGTGGAGGGGATACCAGCTCACTGAGAGTTAAAAGGTCTCTATTTAAGAGCACACAACCTCACTGAAGTGCACTGCAGTAAAACCCATCAAGTTTCACTTCAGAAGTGCTGGAATTAGGGTCATCTGCATTGCCTTAATCCAGCCCTCTCCTTGTGTGTTGGCATGGCAATATTGTCTGTGATTCCATGACACCCCACACTTCTCTTTCTGCAGACCCGGAGCGCCATGGAAAGCGGTGTCCTCTGAATGGATGGCTACTCAATATTTTCCTTTGTCCTCATCACTCAGTGTCCGACTTCATGCATTATTTAGTGTGCTCTCTCCAGCCCCCCCCCACACCACAGCAGAGCTGCGTGCTTCCTCTTGGCCTTTTCAGCAGGGCTTTGTCCTGGGATCAAGGCCCCTGGATGGGGAGACAGGACTCTGTCTTCCCATCACTGCTGGCTAGAGAGGGAGCCAGGCTCTTCCCAGCCACCTGTAAGTGAATAAATGCCAGGTGGTTCAGATGAGCCCAGCCCTGATAAAAGACTGCCAGCAGTAAAGGCAGGAGCTGCCTGCAGGGAAGGGAGCTCCTGCAGGAGGGTGAGTGATGCTCTGGGGGACCAGATGAGGTGTAAGCACCTGGACAGCTGCAGGAGCCTTGCCTGTAAGGGCAGAAGCTCTGTTAGCAGGAGGGTGTTTGAGGGGAAGGAGCTCCAAACCAGGCTGGGATCCTGTGTGAGGGGTTCCTTGGCTCAGCCAGTGCCCAGGAGGGCACACCACAGCTCCTGGTGCCTGAGTGGCCTGTTGGGAATGAGTGCCTCATGCTGCCACGTGGTGGGTGCCAGTGGGGTTTCAAAGGCAGGCCTCAGAAAATAAGTTTGGTGTTTGGAGGGACAGTTAGGTTGGGTTTTATTTTGCAAAGTTTGAGAGGTTTTGCTAGTGCAGTAATTAACATAAGTAACATAACTTCTTGCTCTGAATCAAAACGATGACTTTGCAATGACTTTTCTGAGCCTGTTCATCAGCTACCTGGCTTCCTTATCCTGTTTTTGGATACCTCACTGGATGAGGCACCATACAGCTCTGTCCTACACTGCGAGCCCATTCAGCCTGGGTGCTGAGGAAAGTTGGAGACAAGTCTCATAAATCTACTTCAGCTACTGTCCTCAGCATGTCTGTACGGATGGCCAGAGTGAGTGTGCACAGAAAAATTCAGTTTTTATGGTCCCTAACTGTGGTGTACTTAATGCTGCAGCCTTCAAGCTCTTACCTTGCTATTTGCTTTTTCACGTGCACAGCCCTAGCCGGAGTTCCTCACCTGCAGAGCAGCAAACAGAAGGGAAAGCTGGACCAGAACACTCCCAACACCGACAGGTTGGCCACCCGTCTGCACTCACCCTCTGTCAAACTCGGCCACGTCCCTCAGCTGTCCCTGGTAGGTGTCCAGCAGCAGCCACGGGGAGCACACGGCTGGCGGCGGGCGGGGAGGATGCGGCCGGGAGAAGCGGAAGCGCACGGAGCCCGCGGGAGTGAAGCAGATGTAGCAGTCAGGCAGGTAGGAGGCATTGAACACCAGCCAGCCCACGCCCAGCATGGCGAAGTCGTGCAGGTGGAGCACAGCACCTGGTGGGGGACAAGGATGCCCCGATGAGCCCAGGCAGCTGGGAAGAAGGTTTAATGTGGTAACAGTTTGCTTGCCCATCCGGAGGTGTCTGGAAATGCTTCTAGAAGGCTGTGAGTGAGCTCTCCCAGCAAGGACTGCAGGGCTGCTCTGCCTCCCCCAGGCTGGAGGATGTGGCCCCCTCCACATCAGATGCTGGGCAGGCAAAGCGTGACAGCTCCCTGGGAGCACAGGGAGGGGGGAAATCATTAGGGAGCTCTGCTTCTCCACTGGGTTGGAAAATGCTCTGAGTTATTAAAGGTTTTTCAGGCAGACTTTGCTGTGAGCTGGCTCAGGACCCACTGCTTTAAAGAGAAGCTTGCACAGGAGGCAGCAGTTTACAAGGCATGCTGGCTGAAGCACACCTGAAGCAAGGCTCTGTATCTAAGCTGTTTGGATCCCAGCTTCAATTATTATGTCTAGTGAGTGTCTCTTCTTTCAGCTCTCTGGAACTCTGGCATACACCAAAATCCCAGACCATGTTACTCTGGGGAATTGCACTCAGATGCAGAAGTACAATTTACTTCTGTGTCTTATCAAAAGCATGCTTGCTTACATTGTACATCTGCTGCTGGCCAGCACGAAGGGCCTCTGGGGCACTCTGTTATTGTGCAGTATGTTGGCAGCTGCCAGTCTTCCTGGCAGAGGAAGCATCCTCTGTATGTTCACCTTCCTTATCATTCCATTTTGCTGAAATCTCTCCTTTTCCAAAGACTCCTGGTGTTATTGGTGCTTGAACTAAGCCTCACCTTTGTAAAGGGAAGATACTGTGAGAGCTGAAGTCTCAGATGTATATTTTATTAGTCTAGGGGAGACCTCTTAGTCAAAATAGCTTTGATGCCCTTAAGGGTAAAGGGAGAACATGAACAGCAAGAACAAGACACAAGATTGGTATGTATTTGACATTAGATTAAGTTCCAGGCTATAATTTATAGTGGACTAATCTAATATCTAATCTAATATAGACTCATATGTCTATGATCTCCCACTACAGAGGGTCTAGCTATAAAGAAGCTGAGGAGCTGTGGTTGCTGCTCTCAGCAGAGCTGGTGCACCAGACTGGGCATGCTGCAGCTGTCTGTCCCTCCTCTGGCTGGCAATGTCACCTTCTTTCCTATGAGAGCAGCACAGACATTACAGTTGTGCTTGAAACAACAGGAACTCCCAGAGGCTCTGATCAAATCCTACTCAAACAGCTACAAGGATGTGATCTTGGCCCTAAAAGCTCACATCCCTTGCAAAGAATCCAAGAGCCCATTTAAACATTGCCTGGATTGAAAAGTGTTAATTACTTGTTTTGTCTCCCACTTGGTATCAATGATACTGGAGGTGGAGAGGGGAGGACTTTTAGATTTCCAACTGTTCAATTCAGCCATGAAAGAACAATGACATTTCTGACACCCCAACTGTTTACAGTAATGGACTGGGATGCTGCAAGACTAGGATCTTCATCCCACAGTGGAGACTGGGAGGGAGAAGTTGGGAAGATTGCTCAGGGCCACATCCAATCTGGCTGTGAACACTTCCAGGGATGGGGCAGCCACAACTTCTCTGAGCAGCCTGTTCCAGTGCCTCACCACCCTCTGAATAGACTTACTAATAGCTAATCTAAATCTCTCCTCTTTTAATTCAATACTGATCCCCCTGATCACTACCTGCCCATGAAAAAATGTTGCTTTCTCTCCCTTTTATAAGCTTACTTTAAGTGCTGGAAATACACAGGCTTTGACTTGTACACAACAAGAAAAGAAAATAAAGATTTCAGTGTTGGAGGTAGCCCCTTCCTCCTCTAGTGCCCCCAGACTTTCCAGCATGCTTCGAGGTCTGCTACAGAACCACCTGCAGCAACATTTTTTGGGGGATGCAAGACTTTTGGCTGAGATACATAATGGTATGTGGAATATGTATGTGGGAAAAAGAGAGGGCCTGGATGGAACATGCTGAGTAAATGGGGATGTCTGTTATTTCTTGTTGTCTTTGCTTCCTCTGTCCCTTCTCCACTCTTGAAAGACTTAAGGATCCATATTGTAAGTTAAACCAAACACCACAATTGCTGGAAATGTGTATTTCATCCAATCCATCCCCCTCTTCCTCTCTTCCCCAACCCCATCCCTGAGCTCGAAGTCAGGGCTTTTCCTGAAACCCAATGAGCGCAATTTACAGCCCTCAGAAGCTTGTCTCCCACATCCTGTGTTTTGTCCCAGCTCAGAAAGCAAAAGATGAGTAAAATGAAACTCCTTAAGCCAAGCCTACCTTTAGGCATGCGCTTTAAGATGCTGAACACCATGCTCTGATCAATGAGGCTTTTTGCCCGGAAGAAGTGCATGCTTGGAGGAAACTGTCCTGTAGATATGGCTGTTTCCACTTCCCTCTTCTTGAGGTTTACGAGCTTTGTACTGAGCTGCTGCTCCTGCCTGTTCAGCACCAAATTGCCACCTGTCTGATGGGCTTTCTCCTCCTGCATCAGGGAGTCCCGGTCCTTCCAGAGAGGGATGGGAAGGCAGAGGGAAGCCAGACTCAGGAGAAGGTATGCCAGCCTTATGCCTTGCCCAGATGGAGGTTTCATCTTAGAGGTGCACCTTGACAGGGAGAAAAGATTGAGGCATTAGCAGAGGTCAGAAGGAGCACCTCAGCAATGGGAAGTGGTTGGCCCATCATGCAGAGGCAGTGAGTTAATGGGATGCTCAGAACTGGCAGGGACACCTGGAACCGGTGTCCCCTGAATTTAGGGCTAATGGATCAGCACACTCCCAATGGCTGCTGACTACACACAGCAAGGCTGGGTAGGGTGAAGAGAAATTGCTCCTTGGATCACACTGGCAGCACATCGTGCATTAAGGCAAAGGCCCAGACCTGGAATGGGGGATTGGTGGGATCAGGATGTTGCTTGCAATCTAGGAGGGAGCTCTCATTGGATAAGGTGTGCTGGTGCCAAGGTGCTGGCTGTGCTGATAATGTCCAGGTAAAGGGCTTGGCTTGAACTGATCAAATCCCAATTCCCTCCAGTTGAGAGAAGATCCTGTTGCACCCTTTTAGTATATTCCAGCTATCCGAAGGGTTAATTTACAGGCAGGATAACCCAAGGCTTTCTCTGCAGTAACAGAGGTGGGTCCTTTCCTTGCAATCCCAGAGGAAAGGGGGTGGAAGTGAGACCATGGCAGTAGCAAGAGATCACAGGAGACAGGCACATGTGAACTCTGAGCTCTCCCTCCCCCAAAAAAGCGTAACTGCAACATAATCCTTCAACACCAGGCTTTAGTGACCTCTGTGCCAATCTCTCAAGAGCAAAACAGGCTGGAGAAGGGCTCAATATTTTCAAATAACCCTATGTGAATTGCATAGAAAGGCCCTGCTTGTGCATGTGTCTTCTCCTTCCAGCCTCTGTAGGTCCAGGAAGGCATCCCCAGCCCCTTTACTGGGTCCTGGGGGTTGAAGGTGTGCTGGGGAGCAAATAGAGCAGGGGTGAATGCAGCCCCCTACCAGGCCTGGCTCTGAGCTTAGAAAAGGAAACATCCCCAAGAAAGTGTTCTCTTAAGCGTGGTGAGACCGCCTCACTTACTGTTACCTCTGCTCCTGCCGGCACCCGGAGCTCACGCAGCCGCTGCCTCCTGCGAGCCGGCGCTGTCCCAGCCCGGGTTAAGGATAAAGAGCGGGGTCCGTCCCGGCCGTGCGGAGCGAGGCACACCGAGTTCCTCTTCCTGTGCAGCCGCCCCGGCTCGCCCAGCTTTTATTTCACCCCAGCTGCGCCGCTTCATGAATATCTAAGGAGGAGGAGGAGGCAGGGGAGGCTGCGAGAAAGTGGGACACGGCCATCCGGGCAGCGGCTGAAGAGCCGGGCTGCCAAAAAAGCGGGGTGGCAAAGGGGAACCCTGAGCTGTTTAACCCATCACTGCCCCATGACAGCGGGGGCATCACTGGGGGCTTGTCTGTGCAGCCGTGCTGCGGTCCCTGGCGCACGCAGCTGGGAGAGTACCCGGGAGAAGTTCCCTGCAGCTTTTAAATACCTTGCGAGAATACCTGGGAGAAGTTCCCTGCAGCTTCTAAATACCCTGCGAGAATACCCGGGAGAAGTTCCCTGCAGCTTTTAAATACCTTGCGAGAAGTTCCCTGCTTTTAAATACCTTGCGAGAATACCTGGGAGAAGTTCCCTGCAGCTTTTAAATACCTTGCGAGAAGTTCCCTGCTTTTAAATACCTTGCGAGAATACCTGGGAGAAGTTCCCTGCAGCTTTTAAATACCTTGCGATAAGCGCGTTCCTGGTGCAGGGATGCTCCGAAGCCCTGCTCGCTGTCCCAGGAATACGCACGAGTTTGGATAGCTAATCCTAAATCTGATACAGAGCATTTAATGCCAGCGACACTGCCAACTCTGCTCGCTACTGCTTCTACATCTGAGAAAACAGCAATTTGTACCTCGAAATGGTCTTGTCCAGTGTCTGCCAGCCCTGTGAATGGGGCAGGAGTCAATCCAGCTGGCTGCCCTGAGACATGCAGGGCAGAGCTGGAGCCCGGGAAGCAAGTCAGGTGGAGGGGGCATGGATTTATTTAAAAAAACCAAACAAACAAACAAAAAAAAAACACAAACAAACAAACAAACCAAACAAATACAGTGATTTCAGCATTTTATTTCACACAGTTCAATGGACAGAGTTTTAAACTACTTAAAATAGATGTTACATAAACAGCTTCCAGAGGAGAACAAAGTCTGTTTAGTTTGAGTCCAAAAATTTAATAATTTTAAATATAAAAACAAAAAGAAAGGTCTTGTAAGTGAAGAACTATTGAAAACAACCCACAGTGGTCACAGCGATTGTTTTTGAGGCAGAGAGAGTAGAGTCTGGTCAATAATATGTTAAATTTCTTTAGCTGGCACAATGGACTGAAAGCAGGGTGTTCAGGCTGCCCACCCTCCCCTCCCTGAGTGTCCCAGCCAGACACCTGCCAGCTTTTCCTTCTCTCCTGGCCCCTTCACTCTCTGCTGTCACTAAGATCAGTCCCAGCATCCATGCAGAGATCAGCCAGGGATCCCAAATACTCCCTAAGCCCTGTCCATGGCAGCATGTCCAGAGGGTAGCTGTGCCCCCCTTGCCTGCCCCTCAGCAGGATTGGTATTCCTCGAGTCTCTAGATGATCCTGCTCCCAGAATGGGAGATCAGTGGAGTGGAAAGATGACCCTAACATGCTTAGCAGCAACTCTTGGTTGATGAAAGCAGCTCAAGGATGAGAAGTGCATGGAGTGAAAAGGGATGGATCAGTAGGGACAAGAGCTCTGCCTCCAAATACCTTCAAGGGAACAATATCACTGAAGGAAGGGAATTGCTTTAATTTTCTTGTAGTAGTAAAGCCTAACATTAGTTCCATAAAACCAAATTCGGCCCAGGCAGTTGGAAAACTGACTCTGTGGTGAGCAATTGGGTGCTAGAGACAGGTTCCCACTGTGCAGCTCTGAGGGGGGTTAAAATGCTGTATGAGAGATCTCAAATAGCTTGCAGCCAGGCAGGGCTCTTGGGAATGTTTGCCAGAGGTCCTCAGAGATTTGTAGTGGTTCATCCTTTCAAATCACATTTGAAAAACACAACCAAAGTCCAGTGCTCAAACACTTCTTTGGTGGGACTTCTCCACATCAACAATTGCAGACATTGCCAGGAGAGTTTTGTAGAGAGGTTGCAAAGGCTTGGACTAGGAAATAAGCAGGTGTTTGAGAGGCTTTGTTCTCTATTAAAATGTGGTGCATGCTCTGGAAATAACAAAGCCCAGTGAAATGGGACCACAGCTGCTTTTAGGTGGGATCTGTCTGGACATGAAAGGTGGAAAGAGGGAGGACAACCAGAAGCCCCATCTGGGGCAGGATTGTGTTCATCTAGTGCCTGCAGGCAGCCAAAACCCTGGCTTCAGACTTCCCTGGGAACTGAGACATGCTATAGGAAGACTTGACCTGTCTCAAGGACTAACAAGGAATGTTACAGTTGTCATTTCCACACCAACACATCTCTCAGCTTCTTTGAATTCTTCCTGAGAACCAAGTAGCCTGTTTGGAGGTTTTGCAATAGCTGTGTGTCTGTCTACAGGAGCACGATTGCAGTTCCTGTCCAGTCTTGTGTGGCCCCTGGAATAGTCTTCAGCTCCCTGGCTCTGGTCCCACGTGCTGTTTAGCCAGGCATGCCCTGCTCCTTCATCAAACAGCCCAGCTTTTCCTTGGTTTCTGGGGTGGCTCCTAGCCCCTGCTGACCTCTCAGCTGCTGCAGCTGTACCCAGCAGTGTTCCAAAGCCCCTGTCCTGGGTGTGTCTGTGCAAGCTGCAGTCGTGCCCCTTCTTTATGCCCAGCTGCACCTCAGATGCATCTGAAGCTTAAAATAGCTGGTGGCCAGCACTGAGTGCTCACAGCCAGTTCCCCCTGCTTCAGTTTCAGTTCCACGTGTGAACTGCTTTCCTTCAAACTTTTTGAGCCTCTTGAAGGTCACAGGTACCGTTCCCAGAGCGTTTCCCCACCCTCCCTCCTGCATCTCCCCAGCTGTGGCCACAGGCTCCCACCACCCTGTTCCTGGAGCAGCAGCAGCAGCACAGGGGAGCATGGGCAGCTCTGGGGCTGCAGGAAGCGGGAAGGACCACAGAGGCAGCAGCAGCAGGTTTGCAGATGTGTGTTTCTCACTTCATCTTTCAGCTCAGGACCTGCAGAGTCTCTCCAGCTTGCAGTGTGACACCGCAGCTCCCCGTCCCAGTTAAAGCCTGGCAGCGTGTGTAGGTAACAGCAAGAGCTACAGCGATAAATCCAGCAGAGGCAAGACCTAGGGGTGATGCAGGCCTGGCTGTGTTTTCTGTTGGGGACACCCATTTTTGTGTAAGCCAAATGCAAACCAAGGAGCATTGCTGAGAGCACAGGGGGTGGGGCTGCCTTTTAGCTTCCTAGCCTCTCTGAACATGTTGAAATCTAAGCTGCTTTCTGGAAATATCACTGTAAGGACAGGAAGAAAAGACTGGAGCCAGGAAATGTGTTCCTAGCTCACCAGTTAGCTATTCTTTCTGTGCCAGCTGCCTCATTTGTGAAATGGAACCGATTCCCTGCCTAGCTGTGATGGTTATTTGCTGTATTTGCTGGTGCAAAAGCCGTGGTCCCTGGGCCAGCAGCTGTTGTAAAACAAGTCTGCATAAGAGACATAATCCAGTTTGGAGAGGGAAACCGTGAGGTGGGACAAGGGGCAGGGAAACAGCCAGAGGTGGGCAGGTGCACAGGTGAGTGAGGGCAGGCTGTGGGGAGTCCCTGCCTCTGCTGGGCTTGGGCAAGACCAGTCCCTGCCAGTCCCTGCTCTGAAGCAGTCCCAGTCTCTGGTTAATGTCTGCAAAATGCTAAGGACACGTAGAAGTGCTTAGTGCTATAAATTATTATTAAAAATAGACGGTCCTGGGATGTTTGGGATCATTAAAACCTCCCCACAGGACCACTACGTAACCCCTGCTTTGGTCTGGCTGGGCACAGGTTGTCATTTTTATTTCTTTCAATCCCAGCCAGGCAAAAACATGGGGCATTCCCCAGCCCAAACAGAGGCATCAGTGGGAGCCCTACAGCAGAGAGACTGCTGGTGTGCCCTGGTATTGCTGGCAGCATTGCTCCCCAGTCTACAGTCAAGCTCTGCTCACCTCAAGGTGCCCCATGCCCCTTCAAAAGCCCTCCCTCCCCTTAGCTGCAAGAATGTCTCAGTGCATCTGTCCTTCCACTCCTGCTCAGCTACATCCATAACTATCCAATGATTTAAAATAATAAGACACTTGAAATGCTACAGGAGCAGGAGCTGCTGATGGAGAGAGCCAGGGAAAGGGCTAAATTCCCAGGTTACTGATTAATCACTCTGGGAGTGGAGTAATTGATTTGTAATCATTGCCTGGCTCCCAAATAGAATAGCCATGGATTCCTCTGACCAGCAACCCAGACAAGGCACTTTGGGCTATTCCCAGCACCCCTGCAAAAGTTCAAACCTTGCTCACAGTAGCGGGGCTCAGAGGTCCAGGAGCCAAACAGCTCCATCAGCACTTGCCCTCTAACGAGAGGGGCTCAGCAGTCAGCACACACACCCGGCTGTCACTGCTGCTGCTGGGGCTTAGCATGCAATTAAATAAGTGAAACTGCATCATTTCCTTCCAACCCTCCACATGTGCCCACCCCAATTCCCTGCTGCTGTCACCCCACCCTGGAGGTCTGGGAAGGGGAAGTACAAAACCAAGTGAGCCGGTGTGTATTAACACCCCATTGCTTTGGGAGCAAACAACAGCCTGCCAAGGGCTCCCAGGGCACGAGCTGAGAGCATTGAGTATTTGGGAAAGAGGCTCAGTGCCATCCAAGGCAGGTCCCAAGGTGTCACCAAGACTTCTGTGCAAAGATTCCTAGAGCCTCAAGGTTATTATTTGTATTCTTGTATTCTCTTCCTCTCCTACCCACAGGGACAGAAATGAGAGCAAACTAGGCTACCAAAACATCCTGGATTAGCAAGTATACTTCACTCTCTCTCTGGGAGATGACTTTAGGGAGGGTGGAGGCCCAGTGCTACCATGGGAAGTGTTTTCTTGCTTTTTGTGTTAGTCACATCAGGTTTTCTGCCTGACCTATGGTGTCTATCCATCCCTAGGCTGTGCTGGAGGATGCATACACAGGGGTAAATGTGTTTTTGGAGGGATTTGACCTAGCATAAGGGCAGG